CGCATGTAAGACAAAACCCTCCCCTCGAGGGTGCTGCAGTGGGGGATAGGAGCTTATCCCATAGCTAAGTTTATTTGTCCACAAAAGATTAAGGACTAAGTACTGAGATATCTAAATCATTAAGACACGTTTGCTTAACACACTTAAAACACTGAAGAGTTGACCAACTGAGGGCTTGAGATGTCTGCTTGGCACGGCATTTGTTCTCTGTGCACACCACCTCCCTGACCCCAATTTCGTGGCTTAAAGTCACAATGGCTCACTTATCTTGCGATTTGATTATCACTGGGTGGGTCTTCCATTGGTCTCAGCTGGGCACACACATGGGTCTGCTGGCCCAGTCGGCAGAGCCTTCCTCCCACAGCGCAGTCCTCTCTGGGCCAGTTGGAATGGCTGGGAGGACTTGATTCCTCTCTGGCCATGAGTTCTCTCTCTCTTTTTAAAATAGTAATATTTAAGACTTTTTAAAAAAATGTTGATGATCTTTACATAGTTGATTAGGGCTCAAAGGGTCAAGGGCTACAGGAAACTGGGTAAGGCTGTTGTTTCCACATAGTCTTTTTTTTCTTCCTGTATCTTTGGAAAGGGGAGAGATAAAGGGAGAAGCCATACCCACCTTCCCAACCATCCCAGAGTTCCTGTTGTGGGGCATGCTCTGACGGCACTGTTCAAGTGGTTTCCATAGTTCAACTTCCAATCTCACAATTCCAAGATGAAATCTCTTCAGAATCCCCTGGCTGACATAGTTCAAGTTAGCATCTCCACTTGCCCAGAATTTCACTGCCAACACTTGGCTGGGGTAGTTGATCAATTTGTTCTGTCCTCTGTTGTGGTAACAGGTATCCTGTGCAGGCTCCAATGGACTGCCATATCCTCCATGTGCACCTGGATATGCTGTCCACTGCTCTGTCTGTGCCACTGAGGAGGCTCAGCTTTGACACAAGCACTCCAAGGCCAGACCATGGAACTTGTAATTCTCTTCATGGTTGAGGTTCTGAGATCAGCAGTTCTATTGGGGGGGATCCACAAAGGAACTTTGTCTGAGGTGATCCCACACCAAATTCTTGTGTGAGTTTGCTAGTACGGGGTCCAGCACAGACTGTCGCCCCAATCAGCCTATGCATATGCTGGTGGTTGCAATTGCTAGGTCAGTTCTGCCTCGAGCCCCATCTTCTACATAAACCAATGGGTGTTAGAACCCAAACAGATCCTGTCCACCACACACTTGGCCCTCATATAAACCAATGGAAGCTGCAGCCTAGTCGGAGTGACCCACAATAACCCCCACCAGGCCCGCCCCCTGCCCTGGTTCCCGTGCTTGCCAGTTCATATGTAATTTCTTTTTCTTTCAGGTTATGCTGGGCTCCTTCACTAGGCGGAAGAGCATTCCAAGAAGATCGCAGCCGGAGTCTCAAGACCTCTTGAGGTCTTGGCTCTTCTTGTCCATCTGGCTCCCACTGCATTTTATTGGTCAACACAAGTCACAAGACCAGGCCTGACTGGAGGCTGGGGAGGAAGAAACGCCACATCCTATGGGAGCAGCAGCACCATCACACTGGAAGAGTGTAAATGTAGAGGCTAGAGGAACTGCGGTCATATTTCTATGCTACAGTATCTTTTCCCATCCAGCTCCCTGCTTGTAGTCTGGGAAGCAATCGAGGACGGCCCAAAGCCTTGGGACCCTGCACCTGTGTGGGAGACCTGGAAGAGGCTCCTGGCTCCCAGATCGGTGCAGCTCTGCTGTAGCAGTCACTTGGGGAGTGAACCAATGAATGGATGGAAGATCTTCCTCTCTGTCTCTCCTCCTCTCTATATATCTGACTTTGCAATAAAAATAAATAAATGTTAAAAAAAAGTTTCATTTCTGTCTTATGCTCTTTGATTCTGTGCCCAATTTTGTTCTCTGCCAATCTGTAGCAACGATGCTCTCCACTAATTCAATCCGCTTGTGGTCTCCTGGCACCGTACCTGACAGCCTTATCCACCAATCCCTTGCTGCCCTGTGTCTCTGGCTCCTGCCTATCGCCATGTCTACCAATCCCCGAGAGTCCAGTACTCCCAATTCCCGCCCCTATGTTATAAAACCATACTCCATTCTTTCTTCTGTTTCTCTACCCAGCTAGCTTCATCTGTGTGGATAAAGAGCTCCTGTGTGACTTGCTGGGTCTGGCACTTGGGTTTGCGGTGATATTTCCTAACAGATGGTGTCTCTTGGCATCTATCTAGCTGCTGGGGTCCGTGCAGTAGGTGTGGATGACATGAAGGTGTGAACACCTCCCTGCTTGGCAGGGCATGGGGAGCTTCCAGGTGTTTGGCAGGGCCCGGCGGATTTCTCTCTGACTACCTTGACGCAATCTCACCCCCTGTTTGCACAGACACTCAAGTATCCCACTAAGAATTCTATAATCTATTGAGATGGCTTTGGCAACTACTGTGAGCTTAAGAGTTAATGTTATTGGTGTCTTGGTGAGTGGGCCTTTAACTGCGCACAGGAGTACAATTAAACCTACAATTAAGCCCGTGCCATTTCTGGACACCTTATTGGGTATTTAACTATTGCCTCAGAATCTAGCCCAGACATGCAGCACACCTTCTGGGAAAGGGCTTGATAAATATCCTAAATATTAATGCAAGTGATGGGAGTGAGAGCTGAAACTGCTATGGCAAAAATATAGTTACTGTGACCTAAAAGTTAGCCTGTCCTTGCAACTCTTTAGAACATAGAAAATGCAGCTGTTTTAGCTGCTTTCATAATTTTTTAACTAGAGGAAGTATAGGGCAATTTTTTTTAACGTCATAGAGATATACTTTTGATTATTGTTTGATTGTTCATGAGGTTGTAGAGCCTGCAGTTGTAGGGGGATTTAATGTTTGAAACTGTTTGTCTTAGATCCTTATGTTTTTTCTCTTTTATTTTTTCTCTTATCCCATTAAGTGATAGATAAAGTTGTGAAAATAAAAATGTAGTAGAAATGTTTTACTAATTAGTAGGTAACCATCTGTGCCTTGGCCTTGGAGTTCTGGCTGTCACCTAATGACTACTTTTGAAGAATGAATAATGGCTTGCTTTAAAGAAACTGATTATAGTAACTTACAGAATTATCTTTAAGAGGACCTGGTTGACCATGAAGTAAAAATTAATTGAACATCTATGCATGCTGTCTTAGTTCTAAAGTTAAAGATAAAAAATCAAATGTTTGTGCAGAGACTTGTGATGTGTCTAATAAAAAGGACAGCTTCTTCTTGAACAAAGAGGCAGCAAGAAGGTACCAAGTGACAGTGTCTGTGTCTTTCTTAATCGCCGACTCCACGCACCCTTCCCGAGCTCCAAACTCAGCTGGAGCTGGACTCCGGCACCTAGCTGCCTCAGGTTGGGCTGCTTCTTGGAATTACGGTTTCCCTGGCCCCTTGCTTGCACCTGCACGCATACCAGCCCTACAGCCTAGATGTTCAACTCTTTTTTTTGAAAGGCAGATTTACAGAGAAAGATCTTCCATCCGTGGATTCAGTCCTCAAATGGTCATGCAAGCCAAGGATTTAGCCACTGGGCCATCGTGCCAGGTCCTAGATATCCAACTCTTAAAATCTATTGCCTTTGGTTCCCCACAGGGAACTTGGCGCTAGTCACACTGCAGCTCTAGGGTCTGGTCTGGAAAATAGGTTCCGGGAGGCCGGGGACACAGACCCCACCTGCCCCAGCACAGCTGTCTTTCTTTCAGGTCCACGGAGCAGAAACCACAGATTTAGATTGGCTAGTTCCGCTTACGTGATTGCGGACAGAGCACCCTGCCTACTGTACCCCAGCTCGATGGAGACTTTTTAGTCCTTTACATTCTTCTTGCAAACTCCGCCCCAAGTTTGAAAGAACCCGCACGCGCCAAAAGAGCGCGGGCAAACCAGCCGAGTACCGCCTCACGCCCGCCCACCCAGAGCCCAGAACAGCCCTTGCTATATAAACCCCGGGTCTGTCCCTAAACCGGGGGTGCGTCAAGGGCTGGAGGGGCGTTGGAGCTGGGCCCCCTCCCTGCTCTCGGAGCCTGCGGGCTGGCTGTCACCCCCAGTCACCCCTCCTCCTTTGGCGGAAGGCTCGGCTCACGCGCGCCGAGCCGGGCTGGAAGCGCTGGCAGCTCTCCCCACCGCTCTCCAGCCCCAAGGGGGCTTCGGGAGGGTCCGGGCTGCCCGCCAGCCCCGGGCCTTCGGGCCCCCGACTTGGGTGGGGGCTGGGGCGCCAGTGCAGTGACCCTTTCCTTCCTGCCTGGTCACCAGCTCGGGGCTTCCTGGAGGCCTGGGCCTCCCCTGGCTCCCATCCCAACCTTAACCCTTTCCTCCGAGGCTGGAAGGGGCCAAGGCTCAGTTCTCTGGGGGGACGTCTGGGAGGCAGAGAAGGGGACGGAGAGGTGGAGGCCGCGTCCCAAATCCCATCCCTCCCCCCAAAAACCCAACCTCCAAAATAGCTTTTCCCTCCCTCTTCTCCCCCTTCTACTAGGGGAAAGCGAACGTGGAAGGAAATTCACTTTGACCTCTGGATTCTGGCTCGGGGCCTCAAGCTGGTGGAAAAGCAGTTTCCAGTACCCTCCGCCCCCTCCTCCGCGCCGGGTCTCCCCCACACCGCCCCGTCTCCTTCCTCCGTCCCCACCCCGCCCCTCCGAGCTCCCCAGCGGACTGGGAACGGGTTTGCCCCGGAGGGGCTGGCGGAGCGGTGGAGGGGGACGACTGGGGGCGGAGGGAAGGGCGGCGGGAGCCCGGCCGCTCCCACCCGCAGCTGCAGCCCCCGGCAGGAAGGGCTGGTCGCCGCGGCCGCAGCAGACGGGCCCCGAGCTGACGCGGGCGGGCGCCTGGGTCGCAGCCGCGGGGAGGAGGCCGCGGCCGGGCAGGGGGGCGCGCCGCGGGGACGAGGGGGGCGTGGTTAGGGAGCTGGGGGGGGGACCCCGCGCCAGAACCCCGGGAGGCACTGTGGTCTCCCCGCGTCTCCCCTGCTTCCAGGGCCGGGCGGGGCAGCCATGCTGCTGTCGGGGGGCGACCCCCCAGCGCAGGAATGGTTCATGGTGCAGACGAAATCGAAGCCTCGGGTGCAGCGGCAGCGCCTGCAAGTGCAGAGAATCTTCAGGGTCAAGCTCAATGCCTATCAGAGCCGCCCGGACACCCCCTACTTCTGGCTGCAACTCGAGGGGCCTCGGGAAAACACCGGCAAAGCCAAGGTAAACAGTTTCCTGCACCCCACCCCCACCTCGCATCGCTCCCAGCCTCGGTCCGGGGTCCCTAGGGTCGGGGCGGGGGTGGGGGACAGGGGAAGGCGGGGGGGGGGGGCGTCCCCAGTGGTCCCCTCCTGCCTCTCCGGACTCTCTAGCTGACTCTCTCCCCATCCTTCTCTGATTCCGTCGTTCTTTTCTGCCCCACCCCTCTCTTGCGTGTCATTTCTGTCCCTGAAGTGCGCCGAGAGGCAGAAAGAAAGAGCGAGCTTCCTCGGTGTGTCCTGGCCAGGACCCAGCCACCACAGCTCTGCTCTGGCGTCTGGGGAGCAACAGCAGACCCAGAGTTTCTGGGCTGTCTGCAAGAGACCTCTTTGTTCTCTACTGACGTCTGGTTGTGGGTGGTGTGTGTGTGGGGGGGTGAGGTCCTGCCCCCTTTGAAGTCTCCTGCAGTCCTGGGCTGTCCTTTGCAGCCACTGGAGGGGCCGGAGAGTTCCTTCTAGAGCTGTGCTGGCATTTACCCTGTGGGCACTGGGGACCACTGAAAGTGAGGGCCAGGCTGAGCTCAGCCCAGGCAGATGGGTGGGGGGCTAAGGGTGGGAGTTGGAGCCTAGCCAGAACTCTGGGCTCCCTGCCATGCTCTCCATATCTCTAGCAGGGACTCTGGGTGGAGGCACAGCTGCTTTGGAAGGCGCCAGACCTGTGGGCTGGGTGGGAATCTGGGAGGAGAGCTGTGGGCTCTGTGGGACTGGATTCTGGACACGCCAGGCCAAAAAGCGCACCCCTGCCAAGCCTGACTCCGCCTTTTCAGATTCCCCCACCCTGGGTTCCAGCCAAGGGTCTCCCTTAGACTCCCTTATCACCTCCTCCATAGGAAGGAGTGCTATAAGCTGCCTCTGCCCCAGACCACCTTGTCTTGGTGGGCCGACACACATACCATCCACCAGAGCTGGGTCTAACAGTCACCCCAATTGGCCAAGGCTATGAGTGCGGGAGGCTGTCAGGCTGGCAGACAAGCTGGGGAAGTTCCTCCCTCCAGCCCCTCTGCTGAGGTGCTGCATCAGCAGTTTACAGAGGTCCTGGGGGAGGGGAAGAGGTGTCTGCTCTGGGAGCAGATGTGCGGGCGCCAGCGTTTCTGAAGCTGGGAGAGGTTGGGTTCAGGCACCTCCACTTGCCGAAGTCCTAGAGTCAGGCTCCAGGCCTATCTGTGGCACCCCAAGCCCTACTATTATAAACCAGTGGCTTCCTCCCCACTCACCCGGACCCCGGTTTCTGCCTCCAGCTCTCCGTTCCTCTAGCCAGGTCACTCCCCTACTCCTTCCTGCACAATGTGAGCTTGTTGGGGATATAAAGGAAAGGTGGAGAAGATACGGTTTTGGGCCTGGGATGTGGTGGTCTGGGTTGGATGTGCTTGTCAATAGTTAAACCGCGGAGCAGCAGGGACTGAGGAATGCAGTGGGTGGAGTTTGAGACTAGCGTTTGCTGCCTTCTGATTGGGTAACCTGGATCAAAGCATTTGCATTTTCTTGAGCCTAGATCCTCATCTGTAAGACAGAATACAAGAAAACCCACTCCAAGGAGGGTTGTGGAAGGCACCTGAGGGTCCTTTGTGGGTGCACAGAACAATGGTGTGTGGATATCGGGGTTACTGTTTATAAGCTGGCTCTACATTTTGGAGAAAGTCTCTCCTGTCCTTGGGGTTCAAGCAAGAGGCCAGAATGGACTTCTGGAAGACCCTGCAATCTGATAGGAATCCGTGATGTGTAGGGAGGCCTGCCTCATGGTGTCCAGGTGGAGGTGCTTATAACTGACCCCAATCCCAGCTGTAGTAAGAAGGAACCTCACACGTGGAAAGGCAAATTTAAAGAGAGGTGAGGCAGAGAGAGCGAGAGATCTTCCATCCACTGATTCACTCCCCAAATGGCCGCAAAGGCTGGAACTGAGCTGATCTGAAGTCAGGAGCTTCTTTTGGGTCTACAACACGGGTACAGGGTCCCAAGGCTTTGGGCTGTCCTAGCCTGCTTTTCCAGGCAACAAGTAGGGAACTAGATGATAAGTGGAGGAGCTGGGACATGAGCCAACCTATGGGATCCCAGCGGATACAAGGTGAGGATTTGGCCACTGAACCATCACACTAAGTCCATATTGGTCACATTTAATCAAGGAGGTATGTTAGGATTTCTTTTTTTGCTCTTTGTTTTCACTGAAGAGCTTCTGTCGGTCAATTGGTTTGGTTTTCTTTGCACCTGTTCCTACTGCTTATTGCTCCCAGTAGGCTCTCAGGGCAGTTTTCCTGTAAGTTCTGTCTGCCAGTTGATGGTGTTCTTTGTGCTTCAGTTTTTGTCCTTGGAGACAGCTCTCCCTTCTGCCTGTTCATTTGCTTCCGAGGCCAGCAGCCTGTCTTCCTGAGACTGGTTTGCTGTTGTCCTTTGTTAGGTACTTCTTTGTTGAGTATTTTGTTTCCTGAAACACCCGTCTTTATTCTTTCTCAGGTTGGTGGCATACATCCGTAAGTGGTGTCACCAAACTAATGAGATGGTGCAGTCGCCAAGGATTTACAGACTGCTGCCTTAAGCCTGCCTGGGGCTAGAGTCACAGGGACTGGTTTCCAGTCCCTACAGGGGGTCCTCTATGGGGACAACTATCGCTGTGAAACAGCACCTAGCATGGCATCAGTGGTCAGTAATGCTCAGTGGATGAAGAAGTTCTGAGATAATGCTGCTCTGTCAGCTTAGAGATTGTTTATGCTTCTTGTCTATGATGAATCTTCTTTCTTAGTTTTCTTCCTTGATTTGGTAGATGATTCTCTTTGTTGGAAGCACTTTCCACCAAAGAGAGACTTAGTAGAAGCACTCTTAAGGTGCTGTGGTTTGAATGTCTCCTCCAAAACGCACACTGACAATCCGTTGCCTCTGTAATAGTATTAGGAAGTGATTAGGTCATGAGGGCTTTGCTCTCCTAAATACCCTAGGGCTGCTTTTGGAGAATGGATCATCTACGCATTTGGGGACCCTTTGGCCACCTCTCTGTCTCATGTGCCCTGTTTCTTTCCCAGCCCTTGTCACTTGCTGATGTCACGCTTTGGACTTTCCAGCCTCTGGAAATGCAGCTAGGTACATTCTGATCACTCTAAATGAGGTATTCTGTGATAGCTGCAGAAAGTGAACCAAGCCAAGGGGTTCCTGAGAACAGGTTTGTAGGAGGAAAGTGGTTGGGTTGTGTATCGGCGTATGGGTTGTGTCCATTGCCTGTGAGAAGGTCACTTGATTGACAGCCTAGCTGGTGTTGAATTGTAAATGGGAGATTACTTTCAAAAATGTGAGGCCATTACTGCATCGACAGCTTGCTTTGGAGAAGTCTGGAGCCACACGGGCCCCGCTCCTTGCTTAGGGATTCTGTTTCCGACTGAGGGTTTATAGTGTTGCTGTGTTCACAGATCGTCCAGCAAGCAGGCTGCTGTGTGTGGCTCTGTTTCCATCCACTGCAGTTACCCTGTATGCCCAGCTGGCTTGTCTACCAGGGGATCTGGAGGTGATTCCATGGATGATTTTCTGCCCTGCTTTCTCTTTCCTGAATCCCTCTTCAGATATTGAGCTTTCTGAAGCTCCTTTACTTTTCCTATTTTTTTCCTTCTGTTTTCTGAGTTTTTACCTTCCCTTTCCATTTCTTTTTAAAGACTTACTCATTTATTTGGAAGAGGCATAGACAAGGGGGAGAGAGAGAGAGAGAGACAGACAGACAGATAGAGAGAGAGAGAATCTTTCATCTGCTGGTTCATTCCCCGGATGGCTGCAACAGAGCTTGTTCAAGCTGAAGTCAGGAGGCAGGAACTCCATCCCAGTCTCCCTTGTAGGTGGCAGGGACCCAAGTACTTGGGCCATCATCTGCTGCTCCTAAGAGGATTGGTGGGAAGCTGGATTAGAAGCAGAACAGGGCCCGGCAGCATGGCCTAGCGGCTAAGGTCCTCACCTTGAATGCACCGGGATCCCATATGGGTGCTGGTTCTAATCCCGGCAGCTCCACTTCCCGTCCAGCTCCCTGCTGGTGGCCTGGGAGGTCAGTCGAGGATGGCCCAAAGCTTTGGGACCCTGCACCTGTGTGGGAGACCCGGAAGGAAGTTCCTGGCTTCTGGCTTCTGATTGGCACAGCACCGGCCGTTGTGCTCACTTGGAGAGTGAATCATCGGACGGGAGATCTTCCTCTCTATCTCTCGTCCTCTCTGTATATCTGACTTTGTAATAAAAATAAATAAATCTTTAAAAAAAAAAAAAAAAGAAGCAGAGCAGCCAGGATGCTGCTGTCACAAGCAGTGGATTAACTGTGGCACAATGCTGGCGACTCTGCTCTGTTTTTTTAAGATTTACTCAACATTATCTTTCAGTCCTTTTTTAAAATTTTTGATTTAAAAAATGATTTATTTTATTTATTTGAAAAACAAAACTGCAGAAGAGGAGGGAGATAGAATGAGAGAAAAAGAATCTTCCATTGGGCCCGGCGCGGTGGTGCAATGGTTTAACGCCCTTGCCTTGCACACCCGGGATCCCATATGGGCGCTGGTCCTAATCCCGGCAGCCCCCCTTCCCTTCCAGCTCCCTGCCTGTGGCCCAGGAAAGCAGTCGAGGACAGCCCAAAGCTTTGGGACCCTGCACCCGTGTGGGAGACCCGGAAGAGGCTCCTGGCTTCAGACTGGCATAGCATCGGCCGTTGCGCTCACTTGGGGAGTGAATCATCGGATGGAAGATCTTCCTCTCTGTCTCTCCTCTCTGTATATCCACCTTTCCAATAAAAATAAAATAAATCTTAAAAAAAAAAAAAGAATCTTCCATCTGCTGATTCTCCCCCACTCTGAAGGCTGTTTGTTTAAAGATTTATTTTGTTGGAAAGGCAGAGTTACAGAGAGGGAGGGAGAAGCAGAGAGATCTTCCATTCCCTAGTTTACTCCCCAAATGGCCATAGCAGCCAGAAGTTCAGCTGATCCAAATCCTGGATCCGGAAGCTTCTTCCATGTCTCCCATGTGGGTGTCAGGGCCCAAGGATGTAAGAGCCAATCTCTGCTGCTTTCCCAGGCCAAAAACAGGGAGCAGGATCAGAAGTGGAGCAGCCAGGACTGAACAGTGCCTGTATGGGATGCCAGAGTCACAGGCAGAGAATTAGCCTGATTCACTACTGTGCTGGACCCACATTTTTTTTTTTAAGACTTATTTATTTTTATTGGAAAGGCAGATTTACAGAGACAAGGAGAGACACAGAAAGTCCTTTGTTCATTGGTTTACTTCCCAAGTGGCTGCAATGGCCAGAGCTGAGCCAATCCAAAGCCAGGAACCAGAAGCTTCTTCTGGGTCTCCCATGCAGGTGCAGGGTCTCAATGCTTTGGGCCATTCTCCACTGCTTTCCCAGGCCATAGCAGGGAGCTGGATGGAAAGTGAAACAGCCGGGACATGAACTAGTTCTTATATGGGATCCTGGTGCATGCAAGGAGTGGATTTAGCCACTGAGCCATCGTGCCAGGCCCATCCCACATGTTTTTGAAAGCATGTTTTCTGTACTTTCTTCTATTTCTTTGTATAATTTGCCTGTCCATGTGTTCTCTCTTCTCTACTTTTTCTTTTCTTGGAGGGAAAAGATCTGGATAGGTTGTATGTAGTGCAATTGTTCTGGTCATTTTCTGGGCTATCATTTGCCGCAGAATCCTGTTGTTTTCTTGCCTTTTCTTGTTCTGTAAGCAAAGACAGCATCATAGTTAAGAACCTGGACTTGGGTGTCAGAAGGCCTGCGTGTCCCAGCGTGGCCTGTGTGGTCGTGGGCAGATAGCTAGCTGCTTTGTACCTCCAAAATGTGCATCCTGGGGATTTCCTTTTTTTTTTTTTTTTAAGACTTATTTATTTATTTGAGAGGTAGAGTTACCAAAAGAGAGAGAAATCTTCCATCTGCTGGTTCACTCCCCAAATGGCTGCAGTGGCCAGAGTTGGACTAATTTGAAGCTGGAAGTCAGGAGCTCTCTCCAGATCTCCCATGTGGATGCAGGATCCCAAGGCTTTGGGTCATTCTCCATTTTTTCTCAGGCCACAAGAAGGGAGCTGGGTGGGAAATGGAGCAGTCAGGACTTGAACCAGCATCTTATGGGATTCTAGCATCTCAGGCAGCAGCTTTACCTGGTATGCTACAGTGCCAGACCGCATGGTGACTTCTTTATATAAGGGTTGGGAGAAGAGTAGGTGAGACAATGTGTATTAAGTGTCTGGCGCATAGTACGTTCTCAATAATAGCACAGATTTATTATCTTGAACATAATCTAAGTGTCTAATTAGATTACATAATCTAATGTAATCCAGTAATAAATGTCCTAAACCAAAAGAGAAAGAAAGCATCTGTAATGTTCTCAGCTCCCCTCTTCATTTGAGTTCTTGGAATTGGGGCTATGGTGGGGTGGGGGCAAGCTGTTTGTTAAAGTCTGTGAGTGGCACCTGCTGAGGTGTACGTGGGCGAGGGTGGCTTAGGAAGTCCTACAGATTTGGAGCTAGTTTGGGACTGATAGAAAATGAGACTAGCCATGGACTCCCTTTGGGGAAGGGGCTGCAGGTGGGTGTCCTGGGCCCTGGGCAGAGGTGTTCTGGTGTTCTTCATAACAGCTGTTGAGGACCCACACTGCAGTCCTTGTGATCCAATGGCACTACCTGGGGCAGGCCAGCTGAAGGATGCCTGTTGCAGACACAGGGTAGTGGAAGCACAGGGCCATGAGTGCCGACCTGGGGGCTGGCAGCTGGAGCTCCTGCTCCCTTGGAGGAAGAGCCTCACTCCTGCCGCTTCCTGCTGCCGCCTGAGCCCCGCCCTGCACTTTGCTGAGTGTCTGTGAGTTTGTCCAGGGGGAGCCCCTAACTCCCCTGCCCACCCCGAGGCCCAGGACCTCATCTCCTCCCCAGTTCCCTCTGGGCTGCAGAGTTGCCATGGTTACAGGGACAGGTTGTGCTAGAAACTTGGAGGGGGATTAATCAGAATCCTACAGGACTAGGCTGTCTGCATTGAGTGATCTGGCAGCAGAGCCGGTGAGAGCTGTGATGTCAGAGTCAGACAGGCCTGGGCTGTGACCCTGACCCAGTCACCCTTGAGCTCCGTGTCCTGGGGTGGCCTCTGTAGCACTCCTTGGCCTGCAGCCTGGGAGCTGGCTGAGCCAGGCATTGCACTCTGCACCTGCTGTGGATGGTCTTCATTGAAGCTTAACAGCCTCCTAGCAAAGTGGAAACTGCCTTTAGTCCTTTGTGCATAGGTATAAGGAGATGTAGGGGAGAGAAGCTGTGGGCAGGTGGGAATAACTTAGTCCAGGTGCTAGGTGGTCTGGCATTTGGAGGGAGGGGCTCACCAGTAGGCACTCCTTTCACTAAACTCCTCCTCAGTTCTGAGGCTGGACTTCTTAAGGACCTACCTAGCTTAGCTCTGAGATGACATTTCCCACCATGCACCTGTTCTGTTGTGGTCAAGTTGGAACTGGGGTCAAGACTCTAGGGAAGACATGGGTGTATGAGGGTGCAGAGGCAGAAAAAATGATCGGGGAGTCCGTTTGGTTGGCAGAGGAAAGGCACCGGCCTGGCAAGGGCTGGCCAAGTGGGAAGAGAGGTGGAGTCTGTGGCAGCCTCCTGACTTCCTTGTGCTCTCCCACCCTTATGCCAGGAGTACCTGAAGGGCTTGTGCAGCCCCGAGCTGTGGAAGGAGGTCCGCTACCCACCGGTCCTGCACTGCGCCTTCCTCGGGGCCCGGGGCCTCTTTCTGGACTGCCTCTGCTGGAGCACCCTGGCCTACCTGGTGCCTGGCCCCCCAGGCTCGCTGATGGTGGGCGGGCTGACTGAGTCCTTCGTCCTGACCCAAAACTGGCTGGAGGAGCTGGTGGCGCGGCTACGTTGGGGCCCAGCCTCTTTGCGCACTCCTCCAGATGTCTGGGAGGCCGAGGTGACCCAGGCCTTCGGGGCCCTGGTCTGGATCCGCAGGGACCAGCATGCAGGGGACCTGCTGCAGCTACCTCCCGCGGTGCAGGAGCTACTGCTGAGCCTGGTGCGTGATGCGGCGGGCAAGGAGGACGTCATCGAGTGGCTCAGCCACTGTGGCTTCTCCAACCCCCACAGCGACCCGGAAGTCTTGATCTGCCCTCTCCAGCAGCAAAAGGAAACCCCGGCCCTGGTGCCTGTCGGGGACAGTCCTGGGCCCTTCCTGGAGGTGGGGACCCTTCAGAATGATAATGCCAAGAGATTACCTGGTCTAGGAGCCTCAGGCCAGGGCACCCAGCAGGACACAGCAAACCAGCTGGTACGGTAAGTTCTACAACAATGTGTCTGACCTCCCTCACCCTACCCTAGCTCCCCATCCCAACCAAACTCTAGTTGTCTGGGTCTTCTGGCAGGCCTGTTCAACAGATAGGGGCTTCTTCCAGGTTCACTTCCAGCAGTCAAGGAGGTACAGACAGCACTGGAGAGGAAGAGCCAGCACAAGCCTGCAGTAGCCAGGACTCTGCCAACAGCGCATGCACCCTGATACAGCCCAGGCAGACCTCGCGGCTGGAAGACAAGCTCCCCCTGCAGCCTCTTGTATCAACCCTGAGTGTGTGCCCACCCTGGAAGGCCTGGACCCCGGGGCCTGCCTTGTGGCCAGGGGCCGTGGCTACAACCTTCTGGAAGCTCCATGAGCTGCCTTCTGTCCACCTGGCCTACCTCCTGTCCCAGGCGTGTTTCACCATCCCCTTCTGGCAGAGGCCGCTGGGCCCCATTCAGCTGAAGCTGCCAGGGCAGGCCTCTTTGCCCCTGAATCTGGAGTGGAAGCAGAAGGCGCTGGCCCCTCTGCCCAGCGCTGAGAGCCCAGTATGTAAACCGGATGGGGAGCTGGGGGCAGAAGCGGCCCCACAGAACTGCCCAAGGCCTGAGAGCTCCCAGGAGGTCATGAGTCTGGTGGTGATGCCAGGAACCTCAAATATGAAGGATGAGGTCGCCCCAGGACTTCTACAGTTAGAGCCAACTTTGACCCCTGCATCCTGTCTTCAAGCTGAAGATCAGCTCAAGAATACAGGAAACACATGCTTAGAATGTAAGGGCCCAGAAGAGGGACCCTCCCTAGTGCTGCCCACAGGACAAGAGGAGCCCCCAGCCCAGGGTGGGCTGCCAGCCCAGTCAGAACCTGAAGCTCCAATAGTGCCTGAAACTCACCAAGTGCCCCTGGCTGCAGCAGTGCCCAAAGCAGAAAGCCCACCCACCTCTCTGGGGCTGCCTGCAACTCCCCAAGTGCCTGTGGTCCAGGCAGTGCTGCCAGCAGTGTCCACAGAGCCCACAGTGCCCACAGAGCCCACAGCCCCCAAAGTGTCTTTGGCTGCAGCAGAGCCGGCCACTCAAGCTGTGTCCACAGCTCCAAACGCAGCCAGGCAGCTAGCAGCAGCTGCCCAAGGTGTACCTGCAACTCCCAAAACTCCTGCGGCTCAGAAGACACCTGCGACAAAGACAGCACCCACAGGCTCCAAGACAGCCAAAGCTCAAGCAGGCAAAACAGGGCCTGCAGCTCCCAAAGCCCCCTCCACCTCCAAAGCCCCTGCCACCTCCAAAGCCCCTACCACCTCCAAAGCCCCTACCACCTCCAAAGCCCCCAAAGCAGCCAAAACACCTGCCTCTCAGAAGGTGTCCAGGGAGGCCGGTTCTGCCTTGGATGTGGGCAAGCTTGTGAGTGAGGGCCAGCCTTCATCCAGGGGCAATACCTCCTCACTCAAGGGCCAAGGGGAGGCTGGAAGGCAAGGTTGCCAGCCTGGTAGCACCTCGAGCCCAGGCAGGAAGCACCAATCTCAGATGGAGGGAATCCTGGGGGCTTCGGAGGGGACTGCAAAGCAGCCGACTCGCCACCCACAGGCCAACAATACTGTGACCAGCTTCCAGCGCTACCACGAGGCCCTGAATACACCCTTTGAGCTGAAACTGTCCAAGGAACCCGGGGACCAGGGCTTGCGGCGAGTGGTCATTGATGGCAGCAGTGTGGCCATGGTGTGAGTAGCCGTGGGAATGGTGAGGGGTGACCAGGGCATCCCTTCCTGATTCCATGTGGGTGATATGGGGAAAGACTAGGAGGGAGGCAGCTTCTGCGTGCCTGGCAGTGCGCATGGAGCCAGCACAGCAGCTCTGTGCGGCCCATGTTCCGTTTTTCCTCTTTCTGTGGAGGCAGAAACAGTCTCAGAGGTGAGAAATCCTGTCCACAGTCCTGGAGTCAGCCAGAGCCCACTGGCTACTGAAGCCTGTGTTCCTCCCAGGCCAGCTCTCAAATGTGTGACGCCGACTTAAAGGCCAAATGCGTCCCTTCTCTGTGATGCTCTTCCCTCCTAGGCAACTGTGGAGGTGTTAGCAGAAACACATGTGAGAGGGGCTGGTGTTACCATGCAGTGTGTGAAGTCAGTGCTTATGACGCCAGCATCCCTTAAGCAGAGCTCCAGTTCAAAGCCCAGCTGCTCCACTTCTGACCCAGCTTCCTGCTAATGTGCCTGGGAAGGCAACAGAGAATGGCCCAGGGACTTGGGCCCCTGCCACCCATGTGGGAGGCCTGAATGGAGTTGCAAGTTCCTGACTTTAGCTCAGACCAATTGCAGCAGTTGTAGCCATTCGGGGAGGCAAGCCAGTGGATGAAAGATCTCATTGTCTCTCCCTCTTTCTGTCATAATGCTTTTTAAGTAAAGGAAAAAAATTTTTTTAAAATAAAGAAATACATTTGGAAAGCTGCATACTCTGACACACTCTACACAGCAGGTGGTCGGGAAGTTTTGTTTGGACAATGTAGAGGCTGCTTTCCTCTCTCCCTTTTCTTTTTCTAACGTTTAGCAGTTTACTTGAAAGTTGGAGTGACAGATATGGTACACACACACACACACATATTTTATCTGCTAGTTCACCCCTACATACCTACAATGGCAAGAGCTGGACCAGGCTGAACTAGGAGCCAGGGCCTCCATCCAGGTCTTTCATATGGGTTGTGGGTGGCCCTATCTGCTACTGCTTTCCCAGGCACATTAATAACGAGCTAGATTGGAAGTGGAGCAGCCAGGACTCTGATATGGGATGCCAGAGTTGCAAGCAGCGACTTAACCCGATATTCCACAAGGCAGCCCCCTTCTTCCTCACCTTACTCTCCATGTTCCTATACACAAGTGTGCATACACACAGACACACCTGTACTCACAGTGTCTAGTGACAGCCTGCTCCCAGCAGGTTGGAAGCTGGGGAAGGGAGAAGGGATGTGTGGTGGGTATCTTCCTCTGGCTTTGCTATTGGCTGCCCCAGGTCTGGGCTCTGAGGGAGCACTTGGGAGGCAAGGCCATCCCTTGAACTGTCCCATGCCCCCAACCCCCAGGCACGGCCTCCAGCACTACTTCTCCTGCCGGGGCATTGCCATGGCGGTGCAATATTTCTGGAACCGGGGACACCGAGACGTCACTGTGTTTATACCCACCTGGCAGCTGAAGAAGAATCGGAGAGTGCAAGGTGAGACGCCCCCAGTCCTCCCAGCTGCCTCAGGGAGGCTTGACTGCTCCCTGCTGCTCTGCCCCCTACCCCACCTTGGCTTTGCCGCTGTGCCCTTCCTCTGAGTGCCCTTCCTCTGACCGTCCTTGTCTTGTGCCCCTCACCCCTCAGAAAGCCACTTTCTGACACAGTTGCACTTACTCAAGATGCTTTCCATCACCCCGTCCCAGCTGGAGAACGGCAAGAAGATTACCACCTACGACTACAGGTGGGTCACCCCTGTGTCTCGCCCACAAACACTGAGTGTGGCCTGGGCTGGGGGCTGGGGAACTGGAGGCAGATGTGTCAGAGGATGGGGAAGGTCATGGCTGTCAAAGCAGAGGAGAGGAGGGGGTTCAAGGCAGGCTCTTCCCATGCCCAAGGGTGGCTCCCGATTTTGTCCCCCGGATGCTTGTTTCCCTGAATCCACACAGGGACCTGGGGGTTGGAGAGTCAGCCAGCACAGGTGGATCCAGCTACCTGGGGTGAGCACCAAGGGGACCCCAAACTTTGGGAGCCAATTTGCATCAAGGCAACTTTCCCTTTCTCCCTCCCCTCAACCCTGGCACTAGGAGGAGGCAGGTATGTGGCTACATGCAGATGGAGTCCTGGTCTACCTCAGGCCCCAGTCATCCAGGGAGATCCCGTGATCTCTGCTTACCTGCCCCTCCCCTGGGAAAGGAGGCCTTCTGCTGACGCTTGTCAGGGCAGACAGCAGTCTGCCTCATGGAGGCCTGCCCTTGCTGAGGAGGGAGGACTTCAGGTTTCTCTCCACCTTTTCCAAGACCTGGCAACCACTTAGCCCAGGAAAGTCTGGACAGGGCTCCACCGGCAACTCTCCAGTGACAGGGAAACCCTGGGGTGAGGTCTCCAAGCGCCTCCAAACTCTGGTCCCCTGGGTTGAAGGAAATGGGCGTTTCTGCAGAAGCGCCCTCTGCTGGGCACTTGTGAAGCAGCATGCTCAGGGGATCTGGAATGAAACTCCAGGGAAGGCAAGCTTTGGCTTGTCTTCTTGGACACAGCCTATTTGATTGGAAAAGTGGATTTGTTTATTCAGATATGTGTTCTCAGGTGTGTCATCATATTGTACATGTATGTCATGGGATGAATAGGAAAAGTGTGTGTTGCAGAAGAGTGACAACTGAGTGTTGTTTGTGTATATGCCATGTAGCAGACACTGACCTAGACACTTCAGTGCATTTAATCTTCATGTTTCACATGCGAAAGAAGGAATAAACACATGCATGTGCATGTGTGCATAAGGCTACAATGTCTGTGGGTAGAACAGTGAGGTGTACTTATATATGCAGTTGGGGTGTGCGCATATGTACATATGTGTTCACCTTCCCAGATGGCTGCCCCGAGGAGGTGGGCTGCATCCCCTGACTTATGAAGGATGCCCTCCTCGTGAAGCTGCAGATTCACTTTCTTGGAGGATTTGGGAAGTGAGGAATTGGTTCCTGGGTATCTCATGACACCCCTCATTCCCTGCAGGTTCATGGTGAAGTTGGCAGAGGAGACAGATGGCATCATCGTGACCAATGAACAGATCCACGTCCTGCTGAATAGCTCTAAGAAAGTGATGGTCAAAGACCGGTAAGCAGTCCCTTCCTGGAGGGTGTCATGAAGCCCCTGATGGGGGAGACAGGGACCCTGGTGATGTGCTCACAGCACCTGCTGGGAGGTGGGAGATCCTGGGCAGCCGCAGGACAGTGGCATGAGGCCAGGGCCCATCTGACTGGGCCACTTCTCTACCGGATGCAGCCTGTTGCCTTTCACCTTTGCTGGGAATCTCTTCATGGTGCCCGACGACCCCCTGGGCCGTGACGGCCCCACCTTGGATGAGTTCCTCCGGAAGCCCAACAGGTAACAGGGCAGGCCTTCCCTCCCTTCTGGGTCCCCCTGTGACCGACCAGAAACTGCTGGCCACCATGGGTCTGGTGCTCATCTATGAAGAGCGTGAGCCGGCTTTTTCATGTCTTTGTCCTTCTCTCAGGTATTGATGTGTCCACTTGCGATATGGTTGTGCGAGGTGACATATCCATGCCTGCTGCAACACTTTATGTGGCCTTCCACACCTCACATTGTACTCAACATTTTATTATTTTTTTCAGATGCACATCTTGGTACTTCATGTAGTTCACTTTTAACGACCATGCAGGATTACATACACACACACACACACACACAGCAGACTTACCCATTTCCTGGTTGATGACCATTCAGCTGTTCGCACCGTAGGCTAATGGTACCTGTGTTACAGTCAGCGGCCTTACCCGTGTATCTAGAATCTACACCAAGTAGATTTTTTCTGTGTTGATTGTCTCCCTAGAACCACACCTAGAGCCAGATGTGAGGGACCACTGTCTCCCTTTATAGATGTGAGACTCAAGTGACTTTCCCTAGGTCACTTTGCCGATGCCAGCAAAGCTGGTTTGCACTAACCCAGATCACCTGGTCTCTACCCGCTCTGAGCATCCTTGTTGTCCCACTTCCCAGTTCCCTGAAGCCAGCCGAGAACCTTAGTCAGGACCATCTCAGCAGAACACTGCTTCCCCTGGCAGGTCTACCCATGCTATCCCACCAGTTTAGAAAACAGTGATGTTGTCTGAGTTGGCTGTGTCCTCCCAGATCCCCTGCAGGTTCTCTCGCCTGGGTGACCTCTACTAGGTTGCCCTGACTGGAACCAGGTGGAGACCTCCTGTCGTTTCTTACCCAACCATTGGCTTTGCCCTTACTGCGAGGTGCCGTGCTCGAGGACTTTTGACCTTCAGAGCACAGGCGGGTCTCTGAAGTTACGGGTGGGAGACAGGCAGGAGGAAGAGGCAGTCTGTGTGGGCCAGCCTCAGGAACACTTAGGAATGGGGCAAGGGTCTGTGAGGTTTCCTTGGGGGTGGGCTCCCTGTCTCTCTCCCATCTCTTTTGGTGTAGGTTGGATACGGCGATTGGAAACTTCCTGAAGGTATGGAAAGCCCTTCCTCCCAGCTCAGCCAGCGTCTCTGAGTGGGGCGGTGGCCCTGAGCGCCTGGAGAGTGCACAGAATGTGGGAGACATCAGGGGGAAGGAGAAGAGGCAGAAAGAGAAGCAGAAGGAAAAGGAAGAGAAGGAGAAAAAGGAGAAGGAAAAACAGAAGGAGAAGGAGAAACAGGAGAAGGAGGAGGAGAAGCAGAAAGAGGAGGTGAAGGAGAAGGAAGAAGAGAGAGAGAAGAAGGAGGAGGAGCAGAGGGAGGCTGAGGGCCTGCAGTGCCTGACTGCGGAGGACGATTCTGGCTCTTCGCTGGCCTCGGTGTTCCAGGTTGAGAGTCCCTCCCTCTCGGAGGAAATCCTCCGATGCCTCAGCCTCCACGACCCCCCGGACGGGGCCCTCGACATTGACCTGCTGCCTGGGGTGGCTTCTCCCTGTCTGGGCATCCCCTGGGATGGGAAGGCTCCCTGCCAGCAGGTGCTGGCCCAGCTGGCCCAGCTGACGGTCCCCAGCAACTTCACTGCACTCTCTTTCTTCGTGGGGTTCATGGACTCATACCGTGACACCATCCTTGACTACGAGGACCTGATGGGCCCCCTGCACGGCCTGCTCAAACAGAAGCCCGACTGGCGGTGGGAGCGGGAGCATGAGCAGGCCTTCCTGGCTCTGAAGCGAGCCCTGGTGTCTGCCCTGTGCCTCACGGCCCCCAACCCACAGCTGCCCTTCCACCTGCATGTGTCCGTGAGCCAAGTGGCCCTCACAGCCATCCTCCACCAGGAGCACTCGGGGAGGAAGCACCCCGTGGCCTATACCTCGAAGCCCTTGCTCCCAGATGAGGATAGCGAGGGCCCCCAGTCGGGGGGAGACAGTCCCTATGCTGTGGCTTGGGCCCTCAAGCATTTTTCCCGCTGGATTGGTGACACTCCAGTGGTCCTGGGTCTGTCCTATGCCTCACGCCCCACAGCAGACCCGGAGGCCTGGGATGGCCGCAGGGTGTCGACAGCCTGGCTGATTCGCTGGTCCCTCTTGGTACAGGATAAAGGCAAGAGGGCCCTGGAGCTGAGCCTGCTCCAAGGCCTGCGGCGCGAGAACCGCCTGCTGACGCCTGAGGCTGACATGCCACGCTTCTTCCAGGCCCTGCCTCCTTCCGCTGACCTGTCCACTTTCATCTGCATCCACGTGTCTGGCTATTGCTTCTACCGTGACGACGATGAGTGTACTGGCTTCGGGCTCTACGTCCTAACCCCCACCAGTGCCCCCATCTCCCTCGCCTTTTCCTGTTCCTCATACACACTGACCTATGCCCACCTGGCAGCTGTGGCCTGTGCCCTGGAGCGCTTTGGCAACTCTAATTTTCCAGTGGTCTTTCTTACCCACTGCCACTGGATCTTCAGCCTCCTCTGGGAGCTGCTGCCCCTCTGGAGGGCTCGGGGCTTCCTGTCGTCTGACGGGGCGCCACTACCTCATCCAAGCCTGCTCTCCTATGTCATAAGCCTCATCTCGGGCCTGCCATCCCTCCCATTTATCTACCGAACCTCCTACCGGGGTTCCCTGTTTGCCGTGACAGTGGACAACCTGGCTAAGCAGGGTGCTGAGGGCGATGGGGAGAGCTGGCACTTGCCAGAGGATGTGCCAGTCCCTGTGGTGACCCCACATGCCACGTGCTCAAAGCCCAACCTGCTGGCTTTGCAGCTGAGTGACAGCACCCTGGCTGATGTCATTGCCAAGCTGCAGGCTGGGCAGAAGTTGCCTAGCTCCTCACCCTTCAGCTCAACCTTCAACTCACTCAGCCTCGACGAGGAGACGGGCCTGCTTGTGTTCAAGGTCGAAAAGCGGCCCAGGGTTTGGGTGGTGCCGCGGCAGCTGCGCAGGGATCTGATATTTGCTGTGCATGACATCCCCATGGCGGGCCACCAGAGGCCCGAGGAGACCTACAAGAAGCTGCGGCTGCTGGGCTGGTGGCCCGGCATGCAGGAGCACGTGCGCGAGTATTGCCGGAGCTGCTTGTTTTGCATCCCCCGGCACCTGGCGGCCGGGGAGCTGAAGGTGATCGAGTCCTTGTGGCCTCTCAGGTCCACTGCCCCCTGGTCCACCCTGCAGATCGAGGTGGTGGGCCCCATCACCACGAGTGAGGAGGGTCACAAGCACGTGCTCATTGTGGCCGACCCCAATACCCGCTGGGTGGAGGCGTTCCCGCTGAAGCCCTACACCCATATGGCTGTGGCCCACCTGCTGCTACAGCATGTGTTTGCCAGATGGGGCATCCCCATGCGGCTGGAGGCGGCTCAGGGTCCCCATTTTGCTCGGCATGTGCTGGTGAGCTGCGGGCTGGCTCTGGGAGCCCAGGTCACGACCCTGAGCAGGGACTTGCAATTCCCCTGCCTGGCAAGCTCAGAGGTATACTGGGAATTCAAAAGGGCCCTCAAGGAGTTCATCTTCCTGCACGGCCACAAGTGGGCGGCCTCCCTGCCCTTATTGCACCTGGCCTTCAGGGCCTCTTGCAGCCACGCCTCGCCCTTCCAGGTGCTGACTGGAGGGGAAATGAGGCTGACCGAGCCTTTGTGGTGGGAGATGAGCAGCGCCAACCTGGAAGGGCTTAAGATGGACACGTTCATGCTGCAGTTGGTGGAGCTGCTGCTGGAGCTGCACTGGAAGGGTGCCGAAAAGGGCAGCTCCAAGGCCGAGAACAAGCGTTTCCAGCGGGAGAGCCAGGAGAAGGAGTGGCACGTGGGGGACCAGGTCCTCCTGCTGTCCCTCCCCAGGAATGGCAACAGTGCCAAATGGGTGGGCCCCTTCTATATCGGGGACCGGCTGAGCCTGTCTCTGTATAGGGTGTGGGGCTTTCCCACCCCGGAGAAGCTGGGTTGTGTCTATCCGAGCAGCCTGATGAAGTCTGTTGCCAAGAATGGCACGCCCTTGTCTTTCAAGGTGCTGGAGCCGTGAGCTGCAGCTGTGCAGAGAGGCCCTCCCACCCAGGGCTCTCGGGTTTCTGCTGCTAGGCCACCCCCCACTCTCCTCCAGCAGGGCTTGCAGCCCCTCAATGGTGCTTTTTCTAGAGAACTTGTTTTGTAAAGCTTTGCTGAATTACCTTGAAGTAGTGATCAAGGTCCCTACGGAAGCCTGTCCCAGTTTGGGAGAGTTTGCACGAGGCTCTCTGATGGGGGATTTAGGCAGTTTTACACTGGGGAGTGGCAAGTCCCCTTAGCAAGGTAGGTCAGGTTCTGCATCTTTTCCCCTTCACACATGTGCAGGTGTGTGGCTGAACACACGTGTGCACACACCTATGCCCCTACCTCCTCACTCCCCCTACCCCGACTCCAGGCTTAAACCTGGCTGGCCAAACCCTGACACAGTGTGGCTCTGGCAGGGAGAACCAGAACCACCAACCCACTTTCACTGAGAAACCTTTAGTTTGGGTTCTTGCCCCCAGCCTAGGCATTTGGGGAGGCTCTGGCCTCACAGTCACACACACACACCCATGAGGACTGCAGGAAGGCAACGGCCTCCCTTGCCCCAAGGCCAGCTTTCCTAGGTCAGGTGCAGCCTGGCCAACTGTCACAGAGGGATAGACAGACCTCCTGGGCCTCTAGGACAAGGGCTTGGGGTGAGAGGTTGAACAACCATGAGTTGACCGTGTGTGAGAGCATGGGACAGGCAAGGAGGAGCATGGGTTGGCCTACCTCACTCAACTCCAGGCAATGGAGTTAGCTCCTCACCCCTGCTCTGATGGGGTCTATCCCACAGGAATCAAGGATGTTGATGCCCAAGGTGGCATCTTTACTGAGAGCTGCTTTGACCAGACCCAGGCGTCCTGGGCTCTGTGTGAAGGGGGGCGGGGTCTGAAATCAGCATTCCAGTACCCAGAGAGGTGCCGGTGTGCCTCTACCTCCCAATCAATCCCCACCCCACCAAAAGCCCAAATTCCAGAGCCCTTACTTCTTCCACTGCTACTGTTCCCAGCATTCCTAGATTTTATATAGTATATGATTGCTTTGCTTGGACCATTCCCCCATAACCTCACCCAGTCCTCTGAACTTGCCTTTTATGTAGAGCAAAACCCAGTCTCCCCTGTCTCCATCTCCACACTGGTCCCGAATCATTCTCTACAAAGATCGCTCTGGCCTGTGACCTGCCACCGCTGAAGAGCAAGCTGGCACCAGGTGAAGGCCAGTGCCTGGTCTCTGTAACTTCATTCCTCCAGAAGCTGAGTCAGTCGCTGGGCTCAGCTTGGGTTTCCAGGACACTTGGCATTGCAGAAGGTAGAGTCAAGCCCAGCTGGATCCTCTCATGGCACAGCAGAGAGACGCAGGGACTTGTCTGAAGTCACACAGCTTGGTTATGGCTGATTTGAGGACGGGAAGAAACCTCCTGGCCCTCCAGTTCACCTCAAAAATTTCTAGCAAGACACTTTCCAAATCCAAGGCCACTATTCCCTCCAATAGACAGGTGATGGGGACGTTGTCCTGAAACCATTCCCAGCTGTCAGCCGGGTCGAGGAGGGGTGATAGCTGAGAAGCGGGAGGTGCGCTATGGGCTTCTGAGCAGAAACCACATTCCCTCCCCCTCCCCGCTCTGCCATTCTTCCCGCTTGCGCGTTCACCCCAGGTGCTGTACGTAGCCTCTCTGTCCACTCCCATCCCTTGTCATTACATTTATAATCTTATACCCTTCCTTTAAATGATTTTTTTTTTCATTTGATTTGTCAATAAACAGATCAAACTAGGGCCAATGTCAGGTGTTTTTTGTTTGGTTAGCTTCAGAAGCAGTTATGGATGTGACAGGGTGAAGCAGTGTGTTGGCGGGTGAGGGGGTTGTGGTTGCTGTATGCTCTTCAGATCCAGACTTGAAGGTCTGGACTGTTTCTTGTCATGATCATCTGTCCTGAGCTGAGGGAATCAGGGTGCAGGAGGTGATACCCAGAAGGTTCCGTGGCTGCTCTGTGAAAGTGGGAGGGATGTGGATAAGGATAGATGGTGCTAATGCTGAAGCATTCACGTCTGGCTGTGAGGGACGCATCACAGACCGAGGCTGGAATCCTGACTGAGGATCTGCCACCTGTGTGGGCTGCCGGTGAGGTCTCAGTGTCCCCATGTGCAAGAATCCCATGAAATGATCTGTGTGGACAGGCTCGTGGGGTGCTAAGGACAGGGTGAGTGTTCATCACGTGTTGGAGGACACATCTGAAGCCCTGGCTATGCTACCTCCTCAGGCCCACAGAGACCACCCCCTCCACCTTGGCCAACTTCCCTGACCTGGGGCTTCGGCAGCTTTTCTTACCTGCTCAGGTTTTGGTTTAGCGTTTGGTGTACAGAGTAGCTGGAGATAATCCTCCTTCCGGTGTGCACACTAGTGCTCTCATGTACCTGCCCCATGCCAGGCTGTGTTCTGGGGGTGGGGCAGATAACAGGTAACACAGGTGACATCATCGCTACTGCTCTGGAGCCCACATGAAAAGAGGAAAACAACTGAATCAACACAGCATAGGATATAGGAGAAGCAGGGTGGCATAGGTGTTCCTGATGCAGGGGCCTGGAGTTCCTGTTCACGTATTGTTCAGAGAGGTCTTCTCCAAGTCCTTTCATCAAAAGTAACGCACACACACACACATACACTCATAGTACAGACCTGTGAGCAGAAGTGGAAGGCTTTAGAAGAGGCCTTTGGAAAAAAAAAATCATAGATTTTGTACCCTAGACAAATGTAAGCAGTAGTCAGATTTTACTCATTACTGTTTTACACTTTTTTGTTTTAATTGAAACGGCAAACATACAGAGGAGAAGAGACAAAGAAGAAGATCTTCCATGTGATAATTCATTCCCCAAGCGGCCACAACAATGGCTGGAGCTGAGTCAATCTGAAGCCAGGAGCCCGAAGCTGCTTCTGGGTCTCCCATGTGGGTGAAGGGTCCTTTGGGTCATCCTCGACTGCTTTCCCAGGCCATAAGCAGGGAGTTGGATGGGAAGCAAGGCTGCCGGGATTAGAACTGGTGCCCATATGTGATCCTGGTGCATTCAAGGAGAGGACTGTAGCTGATAGGCTATCAAGCTGGGCCGTTTCACACTTTATAAAAAAGGTTTATTTCTTTTTATTGGGGAGATAGATTTACAGAGGGAAAGAGAGACAGAAAGATCCACTGGTTCACTCCCCAGTTGCTTGCAAGGATCAGAACTGAGCCGATCCAAAGCCAGGAGCTTCTTCGGGGTCTCCCATGTGGGTGCAGGGGCCCAAGGACTTGAGACATCTTCCTATGCTTTCCCAGGCCACAAGCTTGGAGCTGGATGGGAAACAGAACAGCCAGGACACAAGCCAGTGCCCATATGAGATGCTGCCACGCAGAGTGGAGGATTAGTGAGTTGCACCACTGTGCCAACCCCCTATTAATTTTAATCATTTTATTTGAAAGACAGAAAGACACATATACACACAGGTCTCCTACCCACTGCTTCACTCCCTAGATTTCCTCAACAGCTGGAACTGCATCTTGCTGAAGCCAAGGGTCTGGAACCCAGTCGATGAGTGGCAGAGACCCAAGCCCTTGAGCCATCACTTGTTGCATGCGTTAGCAGGATGCTGGATTTGGAAGCAGAGCCAGGACTCAAACCAGGCACTCAGATATGGGTGTGGATCCTGCAAGAGGCAACTTAACTGCTGGTCAAATGTGTGTCCCTCCCTCTCATGTTGAGACTGTTCTTTTTTATGCTGTTTGAACACTCTACAAGGTTTGAGCAGAGATGTGCAACCTCACCTATTTCTGCAGAGATGAACACTGTGGGTTCTATAGGCTGACTATCATGGCTTGTCTCTTTGACACTTATCACTGATTTTCATTCTCGTGAATGACACTAGCAGGAAGGCTTTCTAGAAAAAAAATTTGCAAAGTAGGAGGTTAGGACAATGGTTCAATTAGCTAATCCTCTAATTCTAGGGGCGCCAGCATCCCATATGGGCACTGGCTCATATCTCAGCTGCTCCACTTTCCATCCAGTTCCCTGTTTGTGGTCTGGGAAAGCAATAGAGCATGGCCCAAAGCTTTGGGATTCTATATTTGTGTTGGAGACTTTAGGAGGACGTTGTGACCCTAGAAGGTCAGGGAGCACAGGATTACAGTTGATTGGCTAATGTTTGCATGAGAACAACCGAATGGCTATCTTTTGTATATCTGACTGGATATAATTTGTATAAGAACAGTTGAATGGACAGTATGTTTGTGAGAACACTTGGTGGAATATACAAGACAAAAGGAGTTCTAAACAAAAGCATAGAAACTGTTAACTGGGTTTTGTTGATGAGCTCAATACTTCCTCCCTTATCCCATATGACCCTCAGTGTATAAAGTCTGATGCCACTAATTAACTTCGGCTTTTGACCATCAGTCAGAGTCCACGCGATATTATCAGCTCCGTGCACCAAGTCCATCGCTGTGGCACAGTGACAGGAGACTCTGAAGAAGCTCTTGGTTTTTGGCTTTGGATTGGCTCAGCTCTGATCTTTGCGGCCAACAGATGAAGGTGAATCTTTCTGTTTCTCCTTTTTCTTTGCAAATTGGCCTTTCCAATAAAAACAGATAAATCTCACATATTACAAAGCATCCAGAATGTACGTGGTTCCAGGTGAAGGGCTTCCTGGCCTCATGTCAGAACTTACATGCACAGGTTTATGTTGTTGATGCCAGCCAGGCCTTGCCATACCAGACTTTCCTGGTAATTGTTTACTTAGTTCTCTCTCTCTCTCTCTCTATATATATATATATTTTTTTTAACCTGGAAAAGCAAATTTATAGAAAGATATCCTGTCTGCTTGTTCACTCCCCAAGTGGTTGCAACACAGCCAGAGCTGAGCCAATCTGAAGCCAAGAGCCAGGAACTTCTTCCCGGGTCTCCCACATGGGTGCAGGATCCCAAGGTTTTGGGCCATTCTCTACTGCTTTCCCAGGCCACAAACAGGGAGCTGGATGGGAAGTGGAGCAGCCAGGACACACACCAGTGCCCAAATGGGATCCCAGCACATGCAAGGGGAGGACTTTAACCTGGGACTAGACCACCATGCCAGTCCCTACTAAGAGGTTTTTATGTTTATCAGTAAAAGTGAACATACTTGGAAATCAGAAATCTTATAACAGGTAAATGGCTACAAAAAACACAAAATAGATATGTCACATGCTTTTAAAAGTTCCTCAAGAATCCCTGGGACCAGCATGCATTTGAATTCACTCACTCATTCTCGTAGTTATAGTAACTTAAGTACAGGGAGTCTTTGCTCTAGGTTCACCTCGTTCTAAGCACTTCCCAACAATCTGGGGAAAGATACAATTAGTACCTCCATTTTACAGCTGCAAGAAATGAGCCAGGGAGAGGAAATAGCTGACTGCCTTGCCCAGCTACTAGGGAAGAGGCTGGAGAGGAACACACATTCTGTGCCCAATGTCTTAAGTTGCTGACTCACTGCCTCTCATGCAAGCACGTTCAGTTTGGTGTTAGTTACCTGCCACACCACCCCCAAACTATGACACCCCAACTTTTAAGATTTATTATTTTTATTTGGAAGGTAAATTTATAGAGAGAAGGAGAGACACAGAAACATTCTTTATCTGCTGCTTTACTTCTCAAATGGCCATAATGGCAGGCCCGCGGAGGGCAGGTTAGGTGGAATGTGGAGGCCAGAGTTCAGCAGTGACTAACAGGTGTTAGATTCAGAGGTGCTTGAACACGCTTGAGAGACTCTTAGCAGGCAGTCTTTTATGGTGATGGACCATTTCCTCATGGGAAGTGGCCATCCAGGGTATGCAGCACTGGAGCTTTATACATCCTACCTGTGGTGACTGGGGCTTGTGGTTGGCGGGCAGGGGCAGCGGGATAGGGCAGCAGCTTCTCTTTGGGTGCTGGAGTGGCGCGTAGAGCAAGATGAGGGTCCTGGTGAGAGCTGGCTGCTGCACAGTGAACTAAGGCCGCAGCTTCAGTTTCAGGTTCTGCTCCAACTGGCCTCATGAGCTTACCTGTGTATTCAGATCCTTAACTGAAGGAGCCGCCAGAGGACTCTGTGGAGCCAGGCAGGCTGGTGGAGCTGAGGTTAATGCCATCCCTAACCCCCTCCACGCCCTTTTCCTTTTGTGATTTAAGAACCTTTTTTTTTTTTTAAAGATTTATTATTATTATTTTCAAAAGGCAGATTTACAGAGAAAAAGAGAGAGAGATCCACTGGTTTATTTCCCAAACAGCTGCAACTGACCAGGGCTGAGCTGATCCATAGCCAGGAGTCAGGAGCTTCTTCCTGGTCTCTCACATGCGTGCAGAGGCCCAAGGACTTGAGCCATCCTCTGCTGTCTTCCCAGGCCACAGGCAGGGAGCTGGATCAGAAATGGAGCAGCCAAGACATGAACAGTGCCCACAAGAGATGCCAGGTGGAAGATTAACATGTTGAACCACAACGTAGGCCCCATCTGACACTTGAGCTCTTCAATTGCAATTGCTAATGGTGAGGAGTGAGCATTCCTGCCTGGTGTTTCGGCTTCTTGGCTTCTCAGTGACGTAGGAGGTGAGAGTCTCTCCTGCCCCAGGGCCAAGCAGCAGTGGGTGAGGTTGCGACATAGGAATCTAAGGTCAGAAGGACACTGCAGCTGGATTCTGGGATGGACAGGGAAGGAAGGTGGGAAAGAAACACGGAGAGGAACTGGAGTATTGAGGATCTAGTGTGGCAAGAGGTGTGTGTGGTGTCATGGTTTCAGGTCCACACAGAATCCTTCACTCTGCTAGGGGCAGTGTTTAGGGGAAGCACAGGGAGATTCCAGGGGCAGGGTGTAGCGGAGGGTATGGGGGTCCAGGGGTGGGGTGTAGGAGAGGGCAAAGAGAGGTCCAGGGGAAGGGAAGACCGAGAGGGGAATGTAGGGGAGGTGCAGAGTGGGGTTCGAGTCTTAGGGTCTTTAGTGTTTCAGTATCTACAGTAGCTGCAGAAGAACATGCAACATCACCTGTGTTTACCTTATTATTTAATCATCTTACTTGAAACATCTACTTAGACAATCACTGGAGATTTAATCACTACATTATATAAGCAATAAATCAAGAGCTATACATTTTATAAGTCAAATGCTGATTGCAAACTTAATAAAATCTTCCCAAATGCTTCAGCAGTATCATCTGTCCCAAATATTAGCTTCTTGAAAGCTTCAAGCATTTTGGCAAAGTGCACATATCGCTTTAAGGACTATACAACTTAAGACAGCTATGCCGAAGCCTACCGTAAGTATGGATCTGTAGATACAAGCATTAAATATGTCTCAGTCTCTGACCAAGTTTTGAATTTGCATATCTAAAGGAAGAACAGCACTTAAGGACAGATAAACTTTGGGTTATTAATCAGTGAATTCTTGGTTGGGAATCTGGAAATGAGTTCAGTTTCTTTAGTGATTTAAAACCTGAGCTGGCTCTATCTCTGCACATTCTCCAGGTCTTTCCTGTACTGTACTGGCTATCTCTTCTCTAGGTGATGTTGTCTCCAAGTCTGATGACTGGGATGTAGCAAATGTCTCAAAGCTCCACATGTCCAGATGCCTAGAACGTGTGAGTGTTACATGTCTAAAGCAGCTAGACATATCTCAGGCTACGTGCCTTAAAATAGGGAGGTGTTCTCTCGGCTTATCTGGGTGGGCCCAATTTAATCACGAGAATTCTTGACTCGGAGAACTTCCCATGGAAGTCGAGAAATGTGACTTCAGAAGGCAGACACCTGGGCCTGAGGGATTCGTAGTTCTAGGGTGATGTGGCCCACTTGCTATTGGTTGCAGGAGGGAGGGAGCCAGAGACTTTAACCCTACACAGAAGGAACTGGATTTAAATGAGTTTGCAAGAGGATTCTTAGCCTCTAACCCTGCTACACCTTGCTTTGGACTGTGGGAAACCTCAAGCAAAAAACCTAGTCATGCTCTACTTGCCTTTGACCCTTGGAAGCTGTGAGATCATAACTAGGCAGTGTTTTAAGCCATTAAGATTCTGCCAACTTGTTACACAACAACTGAAATGTAATAAAGCAACTTACCTGTCATTATTCACAAACTTACCTGGCCTATTTATGTTTTGACAAACTTGTAGCTGTCATGCCCTGTATCTAAACTCCCCTTCTTCCATATCATAAAATTCTTGACTTTTAGCTGCTTGGATAAAGAAATATATTTCCTAGCCTTTCCCTGAAGTTGTGTGGCCTGATGTCACTAGGTTGTAGCCAATGAGATGCATCCAGAAATGCCAGAAAGCTTCTTTAAAGGAAAGGGGTGTGTCCTTTCTTCTTCATCCTTTCTTGGGGTTGATATCCTAGCTGGAGCTGAAGAAGCCATCTTGGGTGATGAGTTGGCATGTGAAAGATGGCAGAACAGCCAGAAGAGAGCCTGCGCTTTGTTGGTCATAAAACTGCCATCTATTCCTGGACTCCTATACGGGAGGCAGAAACAACCTCCTTTCTGCTTACACCGTTCTTCCTAGCCACAAAGTATGCTCAGTGGTGAAAGAAAGAGTTATGTTTCTTTCTAAAAGCACAAGTTCACATTAGTACTTCCCATGTAACTCAAGTATTATAAAACAACTTTTTGATTTTGCTGTAATTACAGTTCCACATTTGTTTTCCATGCAATACACTTGCTTATATTGTGTTAATCACACCTCTCATTAGTGATCTTTTTTTTTTTTTTTCATTAGTGATCTTATAGTGTCCCACTGAATACCTGTTACTTTATTAGGTTCATCCATACTGGAACAGTGGGTGGCACAGAGTATTGGAAAGAATGAAGTTGGTAGGAAAGTGGTTAAAGGGTGGAAGGTTATGCAGGAGAGTAAGTGTGGATGAACAGGAAGAAAAGAGAAGTGGAGATGGGTCAAAACAGGTGCAGAGAGGGTGGGAAGAAAGACAGGCTGGGAGAAAGGAGGTGGCGCTTAAAGTGTGGAATGACCAGAGTTCAGGTTTAACGTTGTCGACGTTCTAGGAGGTGGCCAAGCAAGAGGACACAAGGTCATTGACAGGTCCCCTAGTATACAGCTGACCTGCCACCCCCACCTCCAGCTTCATACACTACTGCTGGCCGCAGCAAACATACACACCCAAGTCTCAGGCAGGGAGGTGAGGGGTGAGGGGCAGAGTCCACTTGGGAACTAGCACAGATGGACGGCCAGCTCTCCGCCCACAGGCTGCCCCAACAGACATGCGCGACATACCACGTTCATGCTGCACACATGCCCCTTCCCTCTTCACAAGCCACAGTCGCTGACTGCTCTGTGGGTCTTCCCACACTTGTGCCTGTGGTAGAGCCTCCTGCCCCAGCCCACAACCTGACTCAGCCTCTGATGGTGCTGGCCGAGGTCTGCAGGGCTGGCATTCCTCACAGGAAGGAGCCAAGGCTGGTCCATCTGGGCCCCTGTAGGGGCCTGTCAGGCTGGCTCCAAATTGCAGTGAGCAGGAAGTCAGGATGGGGGAACAGGAGGAGCAGAGCCCACTGCAGGGGAGTGCAAGCCTCCCTCTTTGCCAAGCTCAGCCCTGGTCCTGGGGGCCTGCAGGCAGAAGGGCCTGCGGAGGGATGCTGGGAGAGCACCTGGGGGTGGGGCACCTAGGTGAGCAGTGCCAGGTCTGGAGTTGTCACAGTGCCACTCTTACCCTGGGGTGTTTGGCACACAGTCCCATGTGAGGAACAGGGATCAGAGCAGCTTGCAGGAACCTCTTTCCTGCCCCCAAAGATGCTGCCTTTTTGGGGGAAGGGAGAGGGCTCAAGACCATGGCCAGGGGCTGGGATTTCTATCCTGGAAAGGCTTGAGCTTTCAAAGTGGGAAGATGAGGAAGCCAGAGAAGCTTGAGTACTTCCAGCCACCTAGCAGGTTCCCCCGACGCAGGCGCAGGGACACCCGGTCCCCGGGCTCCAGGGGCAACAGCACGGAGCTGGTGGCTGCCTCTCGGGTAACGTCAGGGTCATTGGCAAAGGCTGAGATGACAGGCCATGTATTCAGCATCAGGCTCACCTGGGGAGGGGATCCCAGTTAGCACCTGTCCCTTGGCCTTAGCTCAGAATCCCACTGTCCCAAGCAAGGAGCAGGGGGCTTTGGTGGCCTCTCCTGGGAGAGCAGAGGGGGTGGCCAGTGCAGGACACTGGGCATCCCCGCTCTCTGCTAGACAGGCCCTGACTTCTGTTGTTCCTGGTCCCAGGCCACAATCAATGGGATGGTTGGGGGCGGGGAAATATTCCTTTGAAGTCAGGGGTTCCATGGAAGCCCTCCCACTCTCCTCCTGAGCTAGGAGACCCAGCCCAGCCTTCAGATCACCTGAACTGTCTGGCGGTTGTACACCTTCACCACATGGAACCTGAAGCTGTAGACGCCTCGGACGGGGGCCACGAAGGAGCCAGAGGCCCGGTCAAAGCCGCCACCCTCATTGACCAGGACCTGGGGAAAGCAGAGCCTGCTGAGTGGGCCCGGGATGCCTGGGGTCAGGGATACCATGGGGCTGGGGACAGGGACAGTGAGTCAGGGACAGAAGGGGCTGCAAGGAAGGGTAAGAGGAAGGGGGGGCAGATTCGGACAGAGGAGGGAGGGGAGCAAGCAGTGGCCATGGCAGAGTGGGCTGGGTCCTACCAGGCCCTTCCGACAGGGTTCCCGGAGTTACCTGGTCGAAGTAGATGGCCCCGCTCGTGCCGTTTCCTGTTTCCCCGGCTGGCTCATGATGGTGGCTCCGGACCGCCGCAAATGCCACTCTGCCAGGGGGTGCCTCTCCCAGGGCTGCGCCCCCGGGTCCCCCTGCAGCTGCTCTGCCAGGCTCACATACCACCAGGCACTCGCCCTCCAGCAGGACGGGCTCAGAGCCCTCCTGGGCCCCCACAGTCCCCAGGGCCAGCAGCACCAGGGCCAAGCTCAGCCTAGGGTTGCACAGGGGACCTGCGAACCAGCACAGCTTTCCTCTGGACATGGCTGAGAGGCTCCGCCACCTCCAAGTGCCCCTGGCTGCACTCTGTTGCAGTTCCATTCCTCGCACCCTGCTCCTCCTCAGCCCTCTCTAGGTCTCCCAGCCACCTGCCCTTGGTACCTCCCTCCCATACTGCTCCGCAACCCAGGCGCTGTCCGGCCTCCCACTCTTGCTATTCCTGCTGTCACTGCAGTCCCCTCCTCCTTGGCAAAGCCTGAAGCGACAGCAGTTGGACCCTAGGAGGGAGAGGAGGGAAAGAGCCAGGGCGGGAGGGCTGCCGCTCCAGGGAGGCCCCTTTGGAGAGATCGGCAGAAGATGGCGTAGGGGAATCTGTGGGTGATGGGGGTAGGGAACAGGTCCTCCAGCCCCCACACTGCTCCCCTCCCGTACAGCTCTAGTGGCAGCATCTTTCCATTTATTGGAAAGAATGGGTGTGCTTGTTGTTGTGCCAAACTGCTTTGGTGACAGGCACCTGGGCTAAGAGCATCCCTGCCTTGTGACTCTGGATCAGTCACTTTCCAGCTTGAATCTTTCATAGCCTCCCGCCTAAGGAGCCAGGCTTGCAACAAGGGGTTCCCTCTCCTCCACTAAGAAACAAACAACTGCATGATAACCCAGGAACCGGGGCCAGCAGGGGAACCTCAGGGACAGGCAGGCAGGGTGGGAGCGGCTGCAGGGCGGCGGGGGGCCCAGGCCCCTGCGCAGGCCCAGCCCCAGGAGGAGCCCGGCTGACTCCGCCCCAGGCCAGGAAGTGACTGAAAAAAAAAAAACCTAGAAAAAAAAACCAAAACAGTTTTGAGATGTGGCAAAGAGAGGTCGCCGTTGGGTGAGGAGCCCGGGAAGGCCCGCCCAGATTCCGGGCCCCTGCCCTCGTTCCCCTTTGGGGCTGGGGAGGCGGGGAGCACACAGGCCAAGTCGGTGGGCTTGCTGGGAAAAGAGGCCCCGGCGGGACTCGAGACAGACACCCGAGATCCAAGTGGGCGGCCGAGGCGGTAGGCCTGCAGCGCGGAGCCGGGATCTGGGGGTCCCGCGGCGGGGGCCGGGATCTGGGGGTCCCGCGGCGGGGGCCGGGGACGGGCCCGCCTCAGGCCTGGGCCCCGGCTGGGGGCGCGGCGCGACGGGGCTGGGGGAGGGGCGGCGGCGCGCGGGGGCGTGGCCTGGGCCCTGGAGAGGCGGGCCGGGGCCCGAGCCTGGCGCGGTTCGAGTCCCCGCTGGGGATTGCGTTTAAGAGGCCTTCCTGGGCCCGGCGCCTTCTTCCGCCACCACCCAGTCCCCGGCGGCTGGCTGGAGCCGATCTTCGCCTCCCGTCCCGAGGCATTCTCATCCGGGTGGCGTCCGCTAGGTTAAGAGAAAGAGGCTTGCGGTTCCCTCCCGGTCCGGGAAGTGGACTCGAGGCTTGTTGTTGGCCTCCTGGCGTTGTTTATCAGAATCGCTGAGGTGCTCCGACCTGTGGGGGCGGTTTGTTGCGGGCTGGCTGAGGGCTGTGAGGCGCTGAGTTGCCTTCTGCCCCCTCGCAGGGCCGGACGCCGCCGCCATGCCTACTTGCGGGGCGTCCCCCGAGCCCCCTGACCGCTTTGCGGTATTTGCGGAAACCGAGGACCGAGTGCGGCAGCAGCAGCTCTGCGTGGAGCGTATCTTTGGCGTGAGCATGAGCGTCCTCCCCAAGGACTGTCCCGAGAACCCTCACATCTGGCTGCAGCTGGAAGGACCCAAGGAGAACTTGAGACGAGCCAAGGTGAGTCGTCGGTCCGGTGGGCTCCCTGGCCAGCTGGCTGCCTTGGGGCTTTGCAAGGCTGCGGGACTCTTTCTGCCCATAGTTTCGGTTTCATTTCTCGGCTGGGACCGACCAGGCCTGCCAGGACACGGTATGTTCTCAGGACATGGTATGGTGAGACACGGTGTGTTCTCAGGGGTGGCAGAGTGAACCCGGATGAACAAGGGGGTCTCACGGGCAAGTTCACTGTGGGGTGGGCTGGAGTTCTGGGATTCCAGAACCACTTGTGCTCAGCTTCCTGATGATAATAAATAAATAAAGATAGGTAATAACAATGTTTACCTAGATATTCCAAGTTAGGAGTTGCTGCAGGGGAAGAGTTATTTAGTTACTATTATTACTATTATTATTTTTTAAATAAGGTGGAATTGACACACATACAGAGAATTTTGTATCCACTGTTTCATTTCCCCAAATGGTTGCAATGGCCAGAGCTGAGCTGATCCAAACGCTGGACCTTCTTCTGGGTCTCCCATGTGGGTGCAGGGGCCCAGGGACTTGAGGCAGCTTCCACTGCTTTCTCAGGCCATAAGCAGGGATCTAGGTGGGAAATGAAGCAGCCTGGGTTGGAACTAATGTGCATGTGGGATGCAGGCACCGCAGGTGCAGGCTTAGCCTACTATGCCATTGTGCTGGCCCCACAGATGTCTCACTTCCCAAATGGCCACAGTGGGTGGGGCTGGGCTCACTGGCCAAGTGGAATCCAGGAGCTTCTTAAGAATCTCCCAAGTGAGTACAAGGGGCCCAAGGCCTTGAGCTGCTTGCCCAGGTCATAAGCAGGATCACAGGATCGGAAGTGGACTATCTGGCTCTGTCTATTACGGAGGGATGTTGCTTTATCCACTGTGTCCTCAGGGCAGTCTTCAGCCTGAAGGAGTGACTGGGCCACTTAAGATTTAGCAGTTTTCTTTTGTCTGTCTCTCCTCCCCGACCCCCCAGGAGTACCTGAAGGGGCTCTGCAGCCCTGAGATGCAGGAGGAAGTCCACTTTCCACCGGAACTGCACTGCATCTTCCTGGGTGCCCATGGCCTTTTCCTGGACTGTCTGGCTTGGAGCACGGGTGCCCACCTGGTGCCCAAGGCACCAGGCACTCTGGTGATTGGTGGTCTGAGTGAGGCCTTTGTTATGGCTCAGAGCCGCGTGCAGGATCTGGCAGAGAGACTGAGCGATGACTTTCGGTCCCCAGGGGCGGCTCTGGGTGCTGCGGCAACCAGTGACTTCTTGGTCTTGCTTCAGTCCCGGCAGGACATGCATGGGACAGCCCTGCTGCAGCTGCCCCTCGCTGTCCAGGAGGCGCTACTGAGCTTGGTACAGGAGGTAGCCAGGAGCCGGGGGCCGCAGGGGCTCCCATCTTGGAAGGAGAACCCTGGGGAGGGGAACTCCGGCTTGCAAAGGGCTCCTGCAAGCAGGGCAGACAGGGGCTCCCTGGACGCTGGGTCTGTGGGGTCAGGGGATTCAAAGGTAGCAAAGGAAGAGGGCCAGGCTGTGCCAAAGGAGCAGGGCAAACTGGGCAGCCCTGGGCAGCTGGATTCACAGCGGAAGCAGCTGAGTGGGGAAGAGGCCTGGGATAGAGAAGTGACTTTGCAGCCCCAGATGGTAGGAGGTCGGGGAGGGGAGATGGGGTCCCCGAAAGGCAAGGCCCTGGGGAAAGAGGGCATGACTTCAGACACAGGTGGGGTCAGTGTGGCAGGAGAGCCTGCGGGTGCCCATGGGTACTCTCCAAGGGCGACTCAGCCCCGTGGGGCCTCCCTTCTGCAGCGGCTCCACAATGGGACCACCTTGCCCCCGAGGGTCCCTAGCCCTCCCTCGGCACCGGAGCCCCGCTGGTACTCTGTGGACCGTGGGGACCGGGGAGATAAGCCGCAGGCTGGGGCTCGGGGCCGTGGGTCTCCGTGGAAACGAGGTGCCCGTGGTGGTGGCAGTGGCAGTGGCGGTGGTGGTGGCGGCGGCGGCAGCGGCGGTGGTGGCAGTGGTGGTGGAGGCAACTTGGTGACTGGCACGCAGCGTTTCCAGGAAGCCTTGCAGGATCCGTTCAACCTGTGTCTGGCCAACGTGCCTGGCCAGCCCGGCCTCCGCCATATTGTCATTGATGGCAGCAATGTGGCCATGGTGTGAGTACCCAGCCAGGGGTGGGTGGGTAGGTGGGTGCTGAGGGTCCTGGGGAAGGGATGGACATCCTGAGGATGTCCAGGACTCGCGCCCTTCTCTCCCCGCAGGCATGGACTCCAGCACTACTTCTCCAGCCGGGGCATTGCCATTGCTGTGCAGTACTTCTGGGACCGTGGTCACCGAGACATAACTGTCTTTGTGCCTCAGTGGCGCTTCAGTAAGGATTCCAAGGTCAGAGGTGAGTTGAGCCCCGGTCACCTGCATGCTGGGGATGGGGGGTGGCTCCATGCATGCCCCAGTCACCTGCTTGTTCTTTGCAGAGAGTCACTTCCTGCAGAAGCTATACTCGCTCAGCCTGCTCTCCCTCACCCCTTCGCGAGTCATGGATGGCAAGCGGATCTCCTCCTACGATGATAGGTACTTGCCTGCCTCCCTGCTGCCCCAGGGAGCCTGTTGAGCCATCTCAGTCCTGCCTGGGTGGGAAGGGGCCAGTGGGTGCTCCGTGCGCTATGCAGGTGAGCTGTGCTGTGTGTTCTAGACTGAGGAAGAGGAGTTGTTCCGCATGCAGATAGCTGCGGCTCCCATTCGTCATTCAGGCTTTGTGTCCCCTCAGGAATGACGCCCGCTGTCTAGGTCATGCTGGTGTAACGGAAAGAGGGGAAAACAAATAGCTGGCAGATGCCTTCTTAGAACCCGCTTTCCAGACCCATAGAGAAGCCTCCCCTAGCATCCTGATCAAAACCAGGGTGCGCAGTTAGAAGAAGAAGTGCAACCCACAAGTAGTAGGACTTTGCAGACACTGTAAGAGGGAATGAGCGCTGGCCTTGGGAGCCCTGAGTTGGTACAACTTACTGGCTTTGACCGTGGACTCAGTGCTAGTGAATTCACTGACCTCCTGGTCTGGGAGATCTGCCTCTAGCCATCAACCCTGTTTGGAAAGATCAAGAGACGATGCTTGCCTCATTCGAGGTGGTCAGTGCTCCCTCTGGACTCTCAAAGGATCCACTGAACTGTGGCGGAGGCCGTTAGCCCTGCTGGACACATGTGGAAAGAGCAGTGAAGAGTGCTTTGGCAGAGGAGATGTAGGCTGGAATATTTACACAAAAAATACACCCCAGCCACAGTTGTAGAAGTGTATTGTGGGGACATGAGCAGATTTTAAAGGCTACTTAAACCATGAAAAATTTCTATAACAACTTTAAAAAATTTTCTTATTTTAAGCTTTATTTATTTTTATTCTAAAGGTAGATGTAGAGAGAAAAGGAAATGCAGAAAGAAAGATCTTCTGCCTACTGGTTCACTCCCCAAGTGGCCACAGTGGCAGGAGCTGAGTTGATCTGAAGCCATGAGCCAGGAGCTTCTGGGTCTCCCATGTGGGTGCAGGTACCCAAGGCTTTGGGCCGTCCTCGACTGCTTTCCCAGACCACAGGCAGGGAGCTGGATGGGAAGTGGAACAGGCGGGACATGAATTGGTGCCCTTATGGGATCCTGGAGCATTCAAGGCAAAGATTTAGCCATTGAGTCATTGCGCCAGGTCCCTTTATTTATTTATTTATTTTAAAAAAGAGATCTATTTTACATGACAGTCAAAGTTACACAGAGAGGAAGAGACACACAGAGGATCATCCATTGTGTGGTTCACCCACCAGATGGCCAAAACAGCCAGAACTGGACCAGTCCAAAGTTGAGAGGCAGGAACTTCTTTCGGGTCTCCTCTGTGGGTCCAGGGGTCCAATCCCCGAGTTTTCACAGTCATAATCAGGGAGCTAGATCAGAAGTGGAATAGTTAGGAACCCATAGTTGATCCTGATGCCACAGGTGAAGGATTAGCAGGCAACACCACCATGCTGGTCCAGCAACTTTTTATTCTTTACAATCTTACTCGGTTTCACAGCACCCACCTCCAAGCCATAGTAGTTTTGTTTTGACTTCTTTGCATCACCAGCAGGTGGTGCTTTGCTGAAGCGCATTCTGCTGAGTGGCCACATTTCCTAGATGAGTGAGCCACATGAGCAGCTAAACAGAAGATGGAGTCGGCCTTGCTGCATTTGACAGGCACGGGTGTGTGATGTTGGGCAGGGGACTTAGCGGGAAGCATGAGTTTACCCAGCGACAGGAGTGGTGGCCTACTGAAGGCAGTTCAGCTTATTTCCCAGGCAGAAGCTGAACGCCAGACAACTGTCACACCTGCTTCTGGCTCCAGGCACCCTCTCTACCAACTGTCCGCCAACTAGTGCCTGCCCACTTGGTGCTGGGCACATGTCTGCAGGAGGAGCTGGGAACCTGGGCAGGAACATCTGATTTTTGACTTCACAGGGCAGGAGGACTCTAAATCCAACACTGTCCAGGGCAGAGGAAAGGGAGCCCCCTTCTGTCTGGGCTTCTGTAGGAAGGGAGGGACTTGTTTTCTGTTGATTGGCAAGGCTATTGGCTGGGCTGTATCTCTTGGTTTCTCAGTCTTGTACCCACTTCCCGCCACCCGATTCTGTGGAATGAGAATTACTCAAGTGGGGCTCAGGCATCTATTTCTGGAACATGTGGTTCTGGTCATGAGCAAGGTCTGGAAACCTCCTTCCAGCTGGAGAAAATCATCTGAGAAATGTGGAAGTCAGACCATGTGGGGCATAGTGAAAGAACAGGCATAACATGATTTTTGACTTTGAATCGAGAATGTGTTAGGTAGTACTGGGAGACTGGGCTGTGTGAGTGGCTTGCCTATGGAATTTGGTGGCTTTAGATACTAGGCTTGGGCATGCAGGCTTTGATAGATGCAGAGAAAGTGGAGGAAGGTTAGGGTAGTGGAAGAGCATGTGTGCTTGGGGAATCAGGAAAGGGTGGTGGATTCATATGAGTTCACAAGTGAATCACTAAGGTCATAATGGGACTGCAAGGGGAGTGGAGGGGGCAGAGAATGGAGGGATTCCTAGAGGAACAGCACACTAGGTATGTGGCTGATTGGTACGGTAGGATGGAAGACGGGCAGATCTTACTGTCTCTCACACCAGCCATGTGTTGGTGAAGGATCGCCCTGAACTAATGGGATGCTTTTGGCGGATCTTGGTTTCCCTGCAGCTGGGTCAGGGTGAGGTGGCCTGCAGACCCCCATCACCTGCATCGAGTCACGGGATGTTCTTTGCCAGTGGGGGAGGATCCCCAGAATGGTTGCCATGGTTTTTGAGACAGGTTCATGGTGAAGCTGGCTGAAGAGACTGACGGGATCATCGTCTCCAATGACCAGTTTCGGGACCTGGCAGAGGAGTCCGACAAGTGGATGGCTATCATCAGAGAGCGGTGGGCAAGCCCTCTAAGGCTTCTAACCTTCCCCCAAAGCCAGCTCAGCAATGGCAGTGGCCGAGAGCCCTGGGGAGGAGTCCTGGAGCTGCCTGGGTGGGGGACAGGAGCCCTTCCGGGACAACACATTCTTTTTCTCCATCTAGCCTGCTGCCCTTCACCTTCGTGGGGAATCTCTTCATGGTTCCCGATGACCCCTTGGGGCGCAACGGACCCACCTTGGATGAGTTCTTGAAGAAGCCAGCCAGGTAATGCCCAGACTTGCCCTCAGAGTCCTCAGCTGTGGCCTTCTCCCTCGGGGAGCCTGGAGGCTTGGTGAAGAGGTGACTGCAGTTTGGGCCAGTTTAATTCTGCAGGAGTTCACATAACTTGAGCTGTGGCCATTGAAAGCTTCCTGGAGTCTCCTTGGGTAGGAGGGAAACAGCTGCTTTAAGTTTCCTTGCTGGAGGTTCCAGGGAGTTGGTTGTACCGATACCTGGTAGTACTCAGCCTGCCCTCTGCTGGACCACTAAGGAATCAGCCAGATAAGAGTGGCAGTGTTCACCAGGTTTCAAAGGAACTGGCTATCAGCCTCTAGAACTGGATTCGTACTGCCACCCAGTGGTCTTTTTGGGGATAGCGCCTCAGACCAGGAAAAGGCCGGGCAAGTAATAAGGCGGGTAGGGGGATGGCTAAATTTCCCTTTGGATTGTAAACTCTTCTTTTTCTGCTTCCTCTCAGGGCACAGGAGCCCTCTGAGGCACAGCAGCCTTCCAGAGGCTTTGCAGGACATGGGAGTAAACAGCAGGAGAAAGAAGAGGAAAAAGGCAGTAGTGGCATTCGGAAGAGCCGGGAGACAGAGCGGCTGCGACGGCAGCTGCTGGAGGTGTTCTTGGGTCAGGACTACAAGGTGGACTTCATCCTGCAGCGGGAGCCCTACTGCCGGGACATCAACCAGCTGTCTGAGGCCCTGCTCAGCCTCAACTTCTGAGGCTCAACTTCTGAGGTCCCAAGTGGCTGTCGCCCCGTCAGCCCTTACCTGCCCTGAGCTTAGCTGCCTCCTGGGAGGGATGCCCCCCAATGCTGCTCACACTGACCAGGCCTCCCACTGAGCTGGTTGCTTGGGCGGGGAGGATGAACAGATTCACCATGGGCAGTGCTCTGGCTTGGGGCCCGTTTGGGGGACAAGTCCCCAGAGTGACCAGGTCTCGTCTTGCTTTGGAACCTCAGTCAGCTTTCAAGAAATTCTGCCCAGCCTTAATGTCTCACCTTTGCCTTAGCACAGGGTTTTTGTGGAGAAAGGGTAAGTCTTCAACACAGGAGCTCTGGGCCGCATTGCCTGGGCTGGGCCAGGGCCAAGGCTGCAGGGATAGGACGGGGCGAGGAAGTGGGACTGCCATGCATAGCCAGAGGGCGGGCTTCCCAGGTCTGGCTGGGCTGCTCGATGGGCTCAATGGCTCTGGTGCCTTGTAGGTTGTGTCACAGTGAGCTGGTGAGCAGGGTGGAGGGAGATTTGGTTCCTGCAGGGCTGGCTCTTGACTGAGCTGGTTGGCCTTCACATCTGCCTAGGAATCAGCCCATGGGGAGAAGACAGGAGAGCAGAGGCTAGCTCCTTGCAGGAAAGGTATTTGCACCAAGTCTTGATTGTGCCTGCCTGTGGCTGCACAGGCTTCTTGACCAAAACCTCATTTTCTGAGATTTAGTGGTCCTCCACATCTCATTTTAACATTACGTCCTCAGTAACTTGCCCTGAAATGGCTGCATCCCTTTTGGGCAACCTCCCAAATCCGCATTTATAGCATGCTAAATTAGGACCAAAATACACTCAGGGTTCCTGTGCATGGCAGCTCTCCCGTCACAGTCAGGTGTTTGTTTACAAATGAACAGATGTGTCAGAGTCCTTGATCAGGTGAACTCACTGCAGTGTGGGAGCATTCCTGAAATCAACCCTAACATTTTCTCTCCAGCAGACACACAAAAGTAAGGCACACTTGGACTTTGTGTGTATGTGCACTGGGATAGGGGGGCTGGCAGAGGTTGGACCTAGATGGACCCATCACGTGGGAAATGGAGAACTAAAGAATCCAGCATTGGAAGTTCGCTTATCAGCCGCCAGGCCAACCCTGCTGTTGTGAAATCCAGTCTTGCTCTTGCCACTTGATTCCTAGCGGTCACTGTCCCCAAGTCCAGCCTTCAGTTCTATGCCAGGGAATGCATTGCCTGCCAGGGCAGTTTAGCCCCTGGATGCGCAATACTCATCCATAGTCCTTTAGTGCAGTTCCAGATGGGCTTTTCTTTTCCTTCTATTTTGAGGCTGATCACTTCCCCCCAAGGATCAGTCCAGAGCTGGCCTATCTCCGAGTCCTGCGGAGGTCCTGGACTCGGGCTGCCCCAAGGGGCATGAGGAGCTCGATGGCATGTGGAGGAGCGGAATGGATGATGAGGTAGATGGTCCCGGGGTCCTTGTGTCTTCACTCTGACCTGCTGGTCCCTTACATTGGGCCGTATTTACCTTGCCAGGGGCAGGTGGCCAGGCAGCTAACAGTGACTTGGACAACCTACAGATTTTTAGGGAGAGATTGGCTAATATGGTCTGACACGGGGTCGGTGGGGGTACTACTTCTGGTTAAGTTTAACAGGTGTCAATTAGGTACATAAAAAGGGTCTTGGTTGAATATTTGGGTTTTTTTTTTCCCCCCTAGAGGGTTAGGATTATATAGTGTGTTCCTAGAGCGCTAGGTTTATATAGTTCTTTCTTGGTTTCTTGCCCTTTTCACTTTGTGATGCTGGACATACAGAAGTGTCTTCTGTATTTGTATGCTAAGGGTCTGTGTTGACCGAGCGGTCCCAATCAGATACAGCACATTTTCGTCTTCTTAAACACAGGGCTGTTGGCTCTGTTCTGTCGCAGCTTGGTAAATGGGCACTGATGTGTGACTGCCATTTGAGGACGCAGACCAAAGGCTGACATACCTGGGGCCTTGCCCTTTTCCTCTGCTTGGCATCCTAATGACAGTCTTTGAGTAGGTAAACAGAATCCACTGGAAATAGGACATCCTTTCTCTTTCCTGGCTTGTAATTACTTCCTTCATTGTACTCTCATGTTCTAGATTTGTGACCAGCTCTTTGGTAACAGGGACCAAAAAAAAAAAAAAAAAAAAAAAGGGGGTGAGGAAAGATGTAGCTGTTGTAACTTTCAAATTCCACGTAGGGAAAAGAATCACCTAGGGCTATATTTCTTTAAATAAACCCTAAGAGAAATCCAGGTCAATGAGAGGATGCAAAGCTAGAGAGGTAATTTATCTTTATTAGCCAAACCCGAGTGTGTTCTCTCTAGCATACAGGAGAACTGGGGCACCCCTGGGACATGGGGTAACCCATGCATAGGGTTTTACCAGGAGCTGGAGAGGTTCACAGCTAGTCTCATAGCTACAGTAGCAAAGGAAGGGGAGGGGGCTCCCCTAAGATCCAGGTGGTTTCATGTCTCAGGTAGAGGAGGACTACTAGCCTCTGTATACTCAGCCTGTGTGTATTATGTATCTTGGAAGGCTTCTTTCAGAGACAGGCCTCAGGCCCTGCTAGGAGCTTCCTGCCTAGGCTACGACTTCCTTCAAGGCGGCCCCGAGCTCTGGGAAGGAATATTGGTAGCCAGTAGCCAGTGTCCGCCGTGGGACCACTTTCTGGCCCTCTAGCAGCATGATGGCACGCTCTCGCCCAAAGACAGCCTGCACCACGATGCTGGGGAGAGGGATGAAGGCTGGGCGCCCCAGGGCACTGGCCAAGGCCCGGGCGAAGTCCGCGTTGGTGGTAGTCGGGGCTGGGGCTACTCCGTTCAGAATTCCCTGCACGTGGTTTGCTTCAAGGGCATGGGCCACGATCCCTGCCAGGTCCACAATGTGAATCCAGGGGAAGAACTGCTGGCCTGAGCCGATGGGGCCCCCCAGGCCCAGGCGGAAGGGCAGCAGCATGTGGCCTATGGCACCACCTCCACGGCCCAGCACAACGCCTAGAGCAGGCAAGAGACCATGGCAGGAGGTCCCTCCCTGAAGCAGTCCCCACCGCCCTCCTTGTGTTTCTGTCTCTCTGTTCCCCACCCTTCCCTTGCACCTGCAGCTCTGTAATGCTCTCCTGGGACTCTCCATCCTCCGTCTGCAGGTCAACCAGCAGTGGCAACCTTGTCTCACTTGCCAAGCCCTTCCCTTGATCCCCATTGTTTCCCTACTCCCCAAATCCCCTAGAAGCCCTCCTGCCCCTTGGTTCTCACCAGAGCGTACCACCACCTGGCGTGTGGAGTGCCCAGGGAGCCGTGCTGCAGCCTCCCATCTGGTGACAAGATTGGAGAAGAAGTCAAAGTCCCCTCCTGGGCTGTCCTCGTCATACTCTGCGGTCAGGCTGGGCCGGTAGTAGGCTGCAGGGGAAAGCACAGTCTGACTTGGGTACGCTGGGCCTGCCTGCCTGCCCTGGGCCTCACCCTCTCTGGCCCTTGGTATCTCGCCATGGGAAGCTAGGGCCCACACTTTCTCTGCTCCTCTGGACCTGAGCTATTTCGGTCCTGGGGGACATTCTTTATCTTTCACTGCAGAGCTAAACTGAGAAGCCACTGGGTTGGACGAGTTAGGCATTTGGGTGCCACACTGCCGTGGTTTTTAACTGAATGCCACCATTTATTCTGTGACTTTTAAAAAGCAAATTGCTTAACCTTTATATGGAATTTATGCATTTTTTAAGCTGGGAATTATAGTAACTACCTCTTAGGGATGTTGTGAGAAATAAACGATGTAATATATATCAATGTGAATAGTGCAATTGTTTTCAGTGATTTGGTCACCAGCACTTGGTTCCTAAAACTACTGTGAGAAGCAAGGGGGTGGCGGGCAGGACTTGGTGGACTCTTCCCTGGAGCTAGGAGCAGGGCCACTATTCTTCTGTCTCTGCTTTGCTCCTGCCAGTATAAAGGGGATGGTGACTTGGAGGCATACCTACACCGGTGACTAAGACCCAGGCCTGGGGTGGTTGTGGGGCTTCGGTGATGGCCTTCGCCAGCATCTGTGTGCTTTCCAGGCGGCTCTGGACCACCTCTTTTTGGAAGGTTTCATTCCACCTGCAAAAGAAACAGGGAAAATAAAAAGCCCTCATGATCTGCATGGGGTCGCCGCCCTGTCTCCCCAGGGCCTTTGCATAGTCCCTGCTAGGAAAACCCTGCGCTGTGGCTATGGAAGGGGCTGTCCCGGGCATGCTGTGTTGGACGTGTGGACCGCAGGTGAACACGAAGGGTGGGGGCAGAAGAAGGAGCCCAGCTGCATCCAGGGCTTGCAGGTCACCCCTTGCCGGCCGCTCCCCACCCCCTGCCTTCGAACCTAGGCTGACCTGCGCAGCGGGTTGAGGATGTTCTCCCCGGCCAAATTGACCACGGCGTCGCAGCTGGGCAGCCCTGACTTGGCCAGCGCATCCTGTCAGGGAAAGCACACCATGGCCGGGCCGCTGACCTCTGTCCTCCCCCGCTCCCCCGGGGGCACCGACATACCCACGTGATGCGGCTGGGACCTGGCTGTCGGGACACCAAGGTCACTTCGTGGCCCCGGGCTCTCAGCAGCTGGGTGAGGGCTGTCCCTACGAAGCCCGTCCCTCCACCTGACAGGAAAACACCAACAGCTTACTCCCAGCCCCGCTGTGACCCCACCCGTGTGATTCCAGCCTGTGCCCGGCTCCTCTCGCTCTCCCCGCAGGCACAGGTCACGGGGATGGCGGACTTTCTGCTTCTCGGGCCGGTGACCAGGGCATGAGACATTGCTTACTTGGCTACCGCCCCCCGCCCTTGATCTCGGGCTAAACCTGCCGTCCCCGCTCCCTTATCCATCCCTTACCCACTAGCACCCGCATGACGACGGGGCCTAGTGCGCCTGTGCAGGATTTAAAGCGCGCCCCCTTCGTTGCTCGGCTCCGGGGAGGGAGGATGTGATGGCCGTGCCGCCCTGCGCATGCGTACGTCGGGCAGCGCGCTCTCAGGGGCGACCTGCTACCCGGAAGAAGTTGTAAAGCCAGCTTGTGAATTTTCACCCGGTGACGAGGCGAGAATGGTGGCGGGAGAAGGGAGGGAGAAGGCGGCGGCGGAGGGAGGGCTTAATGCAAACAGACAGCATACAGAAAAACGAAACAAACAAAACGCCAGTTCCCCGTTACCTTGAATTTTCTTCTGCTGTTAGAGTGCGCCTCCTTCCGGTCAGCGCTTAAGCATGCCAACGTGCCTAACCCCTTGAAATAACGTCTTCAGTCCTCAAGGCAATCAATGTCCGCTTTCTTTTTGCTTTTCTAGCTGAATGTCTTCTACAAAAACGAAGTTTCCCTTTTCTCCCTACTAGTCTATCCCTGTGGGATTCCTGATCTTCCCTGCCTCACCTGAACAGATGCCTAAATTCCTTCTCAGTGTCACGGGTCCTTGCTGAATCTGCACTCCGTTTGGGTGTGCCTGTCTCTTGGCCTCAGTGACTGTCCCTCTCCGGCTTTCCCCACGTGGGTGGCACCTGCTGCTCCTCAGGCTGCGCATTAGCAGGAAGACTTGAACTCAGACACTCCCACGCGGGAGGCAGGTGTCCCAGGGGACATCTTAACTGTATTTCTAAGAACTGAGTTCCGGTTTGCATCTTTGCATCTTCCCTCAAGCATCTGTGTTTTCAATTCAGTTAACAGTTTCACAGATTTCCAGAATCTCGCATGCAGCTGAGATCTATGCTCTGAGCTCCTAACTCCCATAGAAACTGCCTACTAGGTTTTTTTTTTTTTTTTCTTTGAAGCCCGGTTGATTTTACTAAGTAGCTCCTGGATCCATCTATTCCCCCCCCCTCCCCTTTTGCTACCAGTGTCCTCATTCAAATTATTCTTGTCTAAGTTCCTCCTATAGCCAAGTCTCCTTGATTCTTTTGTGTCTCCTCTCTAAACTGCTCTGTATGTTGCAAGCTAAGTTATCTTTGGAAAAACATGGGAGGAACATTATAGTGATATATCCTAAAACTTCCAGTACAAAATACCCAGGTAAGCTAGATTAAACATGAACACGTTTCCTTTAAATGTATGGCAGAAAAAGCTAGAAAACAAAAAGAAATTGCCAGAAACCAAAATCAAAAGTATGCCTTGGACTGAGGCTGTGATATAATCTTTGATTGGCCAAACTCTGGTTTGACATTTGAGCCTTCCCTTAGGCTCAGTTATTGGGGAATAAATATTATTTACTTGAATGGGAAAGAGGAGTAGACAAAGGGATTATCCATTTTTTGGTTCATTATCTGAATGGCTGAAATGATTGGGGCTGAGCCAGGCTGGAGCCAGGACCAGGAGCCAGGAGCCAGGTTGGAGCCAGGAGCCAGGAGCCAGGAGCCAGGAGCCAGAAGCCAGGTTGGAGCCAGGAGCCAGGAACCAGGAGCCAGGTTGGAGCCAGGAGCCAGGACCAGGAGCCAAGAGCCAGGTTGGAGCCAGGAGCCAGGAGCCAGAAGCCAGGAGCCAGGAGCCAGGTTGGAGCCAGGTTGAAGCCAGGAGCCAGGAGCCAGGAGCCAGGAGCCAGGTTGGAGCCAGGTTGAAGCCAGGAGCCAGGAGCCAGGTTGGAGCCAGGAGCCAGGAGCCAGGAGCCAGGAGCCAGGAGCCAGGAGCCAGGAGCCAGGAGCCAGGAGCCAGGAGCCAGGTTGGAGCCAGGAGCCAGGAACTCTTTCCAGATCTCCTGCTTGGAGAGTAGGATCATTTCTCACTGCTTCCTCAGGAACATTAGCCTGGAGCTGGATTGGAAGTGGAGTACCAGGGACTGAAACTGCTGTTTATGTAGAATGCCAGCATGACAGGCAGCACTGTAACCTATTTTACCATAACGCTGGTTCCTAAAGTTGGTAGAGAATGTCCTTTAGCACTCCCCCTCCTGACACCTGTTCACCATCACCACCTGATCAGGTCTCTTAGACTCTATATTTCTGAGTGAGGTCTGAATCTCTCTCCTGTCTTTAGCAAGAACTCAATTGGGTCAATTTATTTAAAAAGTATCCTTTATTCTCCCCCTCTCTCCCCTCACAGGCATTTTTCCATCAGCTGAACCCCTCCTCTGCTCCTTGATTATGCATTGCCCCTTGTCCCTAATGTACTCACTTGGGTCTCTGGGGAGAATTCTATTTCAGGAAATCTTGGTGTTTGCTTTCAAGGTCTGTAACTTCTTTGAACAGAGTGGGGTATGATTCTTTTAACTGAGGAACAAGCCAAAAGATATAATGGAAGGTTTTCTCGGAGCTTGGGGTCAGACAGAAGCAAGGTTCCAGTGGTTATTCTCCACTTGCCACTTCAGATACAGTGTGTTTCCCAAAGATTCAAAGATTCTGGAAGTTAGGTCCCCAGTGTAATGATGTTGAGGGGTGGAGGATGTTTAAGAAGCAAGGCCTTGTGGGTGGTTCGTTTATGAGGGAACCAACCTTGGAAGGAATTAGTATCCTTCTCTTAGGAGATCTTGGGTGACTGGGCTAGTTCTTGTGAGAGGGTTGCTGTAGAGTGAGGCCACCTTGGCTCGACAGTATGTGGCCAGTTCACCTTTCTGGGGCTGTATTAAGGCATAAGCAATAATCATGCCAGGCTCATTAGGCTTTGCAGTCACCAAAAGTTGTGAGTCAAGTACACCTCTTTTTTTTCCAAGTTGTGAGTCAAGTACACCTCTTTTCCAAGTACACTTGCATTCCCTATCATCAGGAATTCTATTAGAGCAATAGACCTGGACCAAGACACTATTCTAGTGTGGCTCTCCATCCTGCTCTGGAACCCACTTTGGGTGAGTTGCTTCTGAAACCTTGTGGGGACATTCACCAGCAGGAGCAGGGGCTGGAGAGTGAGATGGTGGGATTTATTCACATCTTCTTTCCTGCCAGACTGGCAGTTGGTTATGCTTTGGCCTGATTCGGCTCCAGCTGTTGCAGCCATTTGAGAAGTGCACCAGCAGATGGCAGATTTTTCTCTTTCTGTCTCTCTCTGTAACACTGACATTCAGATAAATAAATAATTAATTAAAAAAATCAATGTAACTGCTTTTAAGTTAATTTGAAAATGCTCTATCACCTGCTCTTTCATCAGCAGGTACGCTTGTGATCACCTTGTTGGAGGAATGGCTACAGCCACTTTCTCTAGCCTCAGCCTTATGCTCCGTGAGGAGCAGAGGCAGGATGGGGTTTCTGGAGCCTTCCCCTCAGCCTGTCTGGCACAAGGGAAGAGTTCTACTTCTGGCTTCTAGTAGCTCTTCCATCAGAAACATTTACAAGGGTTTTGGTACTAACGTTTTCAAACATACACAGTAGGGATGATTGTACAGTAAACTCCATGTAGCTGTCACCTAGCTTCAATCTTCATCAATGCATGCTCAGTTTAGTTTTCTTGACACATTATGTTGGCCAAGGTTACATAGACGCTATGTACCGGAGCTGATCTTCAGGTCTTCCAGAGCCGGTGGGCTTCAACACTATGCGACACTACCTCTCAAGAGTAACTTTGAGTGTTTGAACTTGAGTCATCCTGTGAGTCTGGGATTAAATGAGATAATTTATGTGAGCTTCACTTTATTTCATACAAGCGACGCACCTGGACATCTTACGATTTTTCAGAACAATGATACTACAATTTTTTTTCTGATCAAACAGATTTTGGGTAAGCTATGCCCCACTTGGGTTATTAACAGCGTGTGAAAGTCTCAAAGGCCATGAGCTGTGATGGGACAAGTGCTGAGCCTGTGATGTTGACTTTTGTGTCTCTTGGGTTGGGACCCTGTGTGCTCACTCACTTTTTACTCACAAGGTGCAATACTCCAGGTGGCCACCAGAGAGAGCCTTGTCTCAAAGTCAGTCCAGGACAGGTTAGGAACTGCCTGGAAGAGACCTCAGTGTCAATATGTGGAAGGCTGGGCTGCCTTTGAGCAGAGGTCCTTCCTGTTAGAAAAAAGGCACCAAAAATTGGGAAAGAGGTGCAGAAACAGAGAGGAGAATCAGAAGGGAGCGAGCTCACAGTCAAATTGCATTAATTAGAGCTTCATACATTCAAGGAGGGTGGCCATCTGCCCGTGACAGATCTCTGCCATATGACAGAGATCCAGCCCTTCAGCAGGGCTGGGCTCTTCTGTGCAATACCTTCTGAACATCCTTTTCCACATTGGGGTTCCTAGGATGACATCAAGTGGTGGTCCCCCACCCTCTGGTGCTGACATGGTTTAGCTGCTGGGAGTGGCTCCCTCCAGTTCTCTCTCCACTTTCCCCAGATACAGAAGGAAAAACAAAATTGCAAGCATTTGTCTCACCCACTTTCCTCCATGTCTCAACCCTCCCTACCTTAATCAGTGGTCCATATGGCACGCATCCTTCTCAACTAAGTAAATAACATCAAAAATAAAATAAAATAATTAAAAAAAAAACACAGTGTAGGAGTTCCTGGTGGGAAATTCTCTATTTATTTATCCTAAGAGCATAAGGTACAAACAAGTATTTGGGCTCCTTTCACTTCCTGCCCTAGAAGCCAGGGCCTGGGACAGTGAAAGAGGACCTGCTCTGTGAACCCGAAGTGGAGGTGTGGGGGCAACTTGCTCAGGTCCAGAAGGTGTGGGGAGGCACAGGAGCCAGCAGAGGGGAGCAGCAGGCTTGGGGAGGATAGGAACTCTGTGACTGGCTGAGCTGGGTTCTGAGTTGCTGGCGGAGTCCGAGCAGGGCTAGACAGGTGGCTGTGGACAGAGCAGGGCTAGATTCTGAGGCTTGGTGAGGGGGAGAGGCCCTGCTTCAAAGTTCCTTGCTGTCCCCAGGTCCCACAGGGACTCCAAGACCTGGCTCCCAATTGTCTGTGTGTTGCTGGCAGAGATGAGGTGGATAGGAGACCAGGGTTTTTCAGCAGGTGGAGAGGTCTTGTTCCCAAAGGAGCCCTAGAAGAGAGGT